TTTCCGAAGTTTTTTTTTAAATATAAATCAGTTTTATGAATTTGGAAAATCTTTTTTTATAAGTAAGATTGGTTGAGCTTTATACATTTTTATAAAAATAAAATTGGTCAAACTTTATATTTCATATGAATAAGATTGATTAAACTTAGTAAATTTATTAAAATAAAATCACTTGTAAGCAAATATCATTGCTTAAAGCTGATAACTTTTTACGTAAAACAGTTACACCAAATTTGATATTTTTTGAATTAATAGATCGTATGAAAGTTTTTAAGTTTTTATTGAACATAACTTACTACTTACAAAATATTTTAGTTATAAAAAAAATTATAAGAAGCATCAAGAATAAATGTGAAGGAAAGATTATGATTTTTTTTCATAAATAAATGAGACTGATAAGGTTTTATATTTTTTTTTAAAATGAAAATGTTCAAACTTTATTTTTCATATAAATAAAATTGATCAACACTAGCAAATTTTTAATCAAAAATCAAATTTAGTGATGTTTTTTATGCACGTAGGATTTGTTCACCCCTAAGATTATCTTTTTATTACATAAACAATTTCGACCAAATTTTTATCATTTTTTTTACAAACAAAACTTATCAAGCATTATAAATGTTTGTTGATGCTTGAAAATCATTCCATTTATAATCATTAACGATGGCATAAATACCCAAACAAAATTCTAAATGATATAATGGCGTAAGAAAAGACAGTGTATAAGTTAAACAACTATTTTTATATCCTCCACTTTTCAGAGAGCCGGCTGACTGCGGGTTCGAGTCCCGCTCAGTGCATGAATCTTGTTCTGTGTGTTGTCGTGTGATGCGCGATAGTGGCCCACCCTATGAACGGGTATTTATGACAGTGTGGAGTTGGTTCACAGGTGCCCACCGGGTACCGTTATTAAAAACAAAAAAGGAAGTCAAAAAGGGAAAACTCTGAATTTTTTAAGGGGATAGAGCGCTCGCCTTCCAGTGAGGTGAGCCGGGTTCGAATTCCAGCGATGACTAATCTATAAGAATTCTGCATCCGGCTTGCACCAACCACAGTGTGAAATATCTTCAGTGGTAGACGGATCATGGGTGAATCCCGTTGAAGTCAGGCTAACCGGGGGGAGGTTCTCGTTGTCTTCCTCTCCATGTAACGCAAATGTAGGCTAATTCTCTCAAAAAGTCCTCCACGAATGCAAATTTCTCCCAATACTAGATCCAGGAATTCCCTTGTCTTCTGGTTTGGGCTCAAAATTACAAGGCTACGGAGTTGTTGGACCTTAGTAGTCGTAAATCCAAATTTGGGTCGACTGTTCAACAACGGTTATAAAATAAAATTATAAAATCTGTTTTTAATCCTTATTTTCACAAACTGATAGCGGATATTGACTGTACTAGACATCATCTTTAAAGCATGTAAAATGTAAGGCCATCATCCGATCACAACATGGTATATAAAGCTTGTGGTATTTAGATTTACTATCCTTTTTTTCTGATAAAATTACTCAAATACAATTATGAAATCAGCAGTTTTTGAAAAGTAGTTAAATATTATACATTTGTCTGTTTTGTTTTGTTTATTTCTTTAAATATTTTTGTATTTAGTAATTTGCGTTAGAAAATTTTTTAGCTCCCTCTTCATCGATTTTCAATGGCTTAAACGATAAAAAAAAATTCAATTTCACAAACTCCGTAGACAGGGAAAAGTATAGTTTTAAATTATTTTCTTAAAACCAGAGTTCGCATAATTTTTTTTGCTTTATATTTTTGAAAAAGAAATCTATCAAAGTTCTGAAAATTATCAAACACAATTTCTCCTAATCTAACAAACGGCTTCCTTCATTTTTAACTTTTTTTGAAAACTATAGTGTTATCAAGAGAAGAATGTCTTGTCATAGGCTTGTTGAGAAGGCCAAGGCCCATCCTGGGCTGTCGTGCCAACGAGGAGGAGGATAGTGATATCAAGGAGCATTCTATTATAAAAAGCTTATTGGGTACGTAAAAAGCAACAACAAATAAAATGAACAATCACGATCATTTTCAAGCATATCAGGAACAATCATGAATATTAAAAAAAAAAAAAGAAGAAAAATATCAAATAAAAAATTTAACTTCAAATCCAAGATGGCGTGTGGATGTGCGAAGTTGGATAATAAATATAATTTGCATTACTTATATGTTATACTAACTTTAAAAGGAAAAAGGATAGCAAAAGATGCAAAAAGATAGCAATAACTGTCATAAACCAAAATCATAACTTTTGTAGATTAGGAAACTATTTAATAGCAGGCACATTTTTAGATTAATTTTGAAAGGTAATGTATGCAAAACTGTAACTGTAAATTCAGTTCGTGACAGTTAAATGTCATAAACTGAAAGCATAACTATTGTAGATAACGAAAAAATTTAATAACTGTTATAATTAATATAGAAATGTGTTTGTAACACATTTTTACATTAGTTTTAAAAGAAAGTTTGAAATCTAAAAAAAGTGGGTCAAAATAACCTAGATTTATGTTACGTATCTCTAATTGGTAACCGTTAATGAAATAAAAACCAGTTTTTTATTTTGCCTTCTAATATAATGAGCTAAATTTTCGTAAACTAATTTTAACCTTTTTAACAGAAAAAACAAACCTTTGTGATCATTCATGCAACAGTTTCACATTATCAAATCGAATCCCCTACATTTTGTTTCACATAATGTAGGATTAATCCATCGAATTATAAAATAGAACTAACTTTTACCTAGAAAATACATTCTTGTATAAATATTCTTAAGGATCTTTAGTTCAACTAATGTTAAACTCCATTAACTTTTAATTAGGAACATTAAATTAAACCTAATTCAAAGCGTGTAAAAATCTGGTTCACAATACATTGGAAATCTACTTTTAATCTTTATTTAGTAGAAAAAAATATTGTTTTACTAATTAAATGGAATTTGTTTTTCCTTTTACAGTGTTGTGAATCCGGTTTACTTGGATCTATTTTATTTTATTTCGGATCTATTAACTTTTAAAAATAACATAAAAATGTGTCTGTCCTGAAATCAAAATTTTCATTTATTTTAAGCAGTTACTACAATATATTTCCACTTAATAATTCACAAAAAATTATTATTACTGGATTCAAATAGTTCTTTAGTTGGGTTACTTAAACTCATATTTTCTATCACAGTGAAACCTGTGTAAGTTGACCACTTTCGCATTGCTCTTGTGGTCAACTTATAAAAGGTGATAAGTCAATATATATTTTTATAAATTCTAATATCGTGTTTTTCTTATGTTGATCATGTTGTTTATTTTATTCACATATTCATTGTATGTTTTATAAATTCTGATACGTTATTCTTATATAAAACACGTTATTCATTTTATTCAAATATTTATTGATTTTTTTATTATAAATTCTTATATCGTGTAATTCTTATGTAGACCACGCTGTACATTTACTTCGCATATTCATTGAATTTTTCAAAAGTTATAGTGTTAATCTTATTTTGACCTTGTTGCTCATTTTATTCACATACTCATCGCATTTTTCTTTAAATTCTTACATCATGTTATTCTTATGTAGACCATGTTGCTCATTTAATTAACATATTCATCGTATTTTTCTTTAAATTCTTACATCATGTTATTCTTATGTAGACCATGCTGCTCATTTTATTCACATATTCATTGTATTTTTCTTTAAATTCTTACATCATGTTATTCTTATGTAGACCACACTGTGCATTTACTTCACATATTCATTTAATTTTTCATAAGTTTTTATATCGTGTTATTATTATGTAGACCATGTTGCTCATTTTATTCACATATCTATCGTATTTTTCTTTAAATTCTTATATTGTGTTAGTCTTATGTAGACCATGTTGTTCATTTCATTCACATTATTCATTGTGTTTTTTTAGAAATTCTCATACCATGTTATTTTGATGTAAAACACGTTATTCATTTTATTCAAATATTCATTGTTTTTTTAAATAAACTTTTGTATCACGTCTAATAATTAAATCGTTAATAATTTGTATACATTAATGTAACAAGAAGTCTTAAATGGGTATGCCCACAACAACTAAACTATCATGTAGCCACTAGTTAGTTCCAATCTATTATTGGTAAAGATTTGATTTACAAACATAAAAGTGAGCGTGAAGTTATGTAATAAGCATGGTTATTCATAACAAAATATCTTCTGTCATTTAAAACAATGAAAAAATAACAGTACCATTACCATTAGTTAAGACATTTGAAACATTGTCTTAATAGAATATGAAAATTAAAAATAACATTAAATAAATATATTTTTGTTTATTTTAAAAAGTTGCATTTCTTGTAATACTAAACATTTAAAGAAAAGGTTTTGAATTCTTATCCTCAAATATAAAACATTTTAATACATAGAACTGCAACAAACCAATTTAATTCTGGCTTTTTGAATTAATAAATAAATATTTTAAAAAAATGCTTTATTTTTTTTTCAGTATCGTACATTTAAGTCAAGTTTTAAATCATATCTCGTTGAAAATAATAAGTGTTCCACTGTTTTAATATTATGAGATAATAGACGTCATGATAAATATTTTATTGGAAAGAGCAATGTGAACATAACGGATTACATGTCACATACAATAAACTACGAAACTGTTTTTCTTTAAAAATCATCTTTCTTATCATAAAAAGTAGCAGTTTCTCAGACGAATACTTGATTCTTTAGTTGTTCCATTCTTCTACGACCCACGAACAAAAAAAAAATGAATGCTGAAATTGTCGTTTGCGTTATGGTATAGAACAATTAAATGGACCAAAACTGTTTTTGTTCGAAAATCATCTTTCTTATCATAAAAAGTAGCAGTTTCTCAGACGAATACCTGATTCTTTAGTCGTTCCATTCTTCTACGACCCACGAACAAAAAAGAAAGGTATGCTGAAATTGTCGTTTGCGTTGTGGTATAGAACAATTAAATGGACCAAAAGGGGTAAATAGTCTGGAAGCTCGATGACCCAGCTCGAAATCTGCATTTTTCAAGGTTACCACTTGAAAAATAAACACACAGCGAGCGGGACTCTTCACACGATGAGTCACGTGGTTTTCAAATAAAAAGGTCAGGACGACAAGTTATGCATGGGATGTAGTGAAGGAACACCTCTTGTTCCGGCGCCGGAACTCGTTCTCTCCTTTTTATTTCATCCCAGTGTTCTTTTTGGAGAAGTTAGTTAAAATCGCCTTGCTCTTGGGCATCCCTATCAGATTGTTGTCATCTTCACAGCGTGATTGTCAGTGAATTTCATTTGGTGTTGGAATTATTCTTTTTAAAGAGAGAATTGGGTGGTTATTTAGATTGTGATTGTGGAACAAAAATTCTTCAGAGTATAAATCGAAAATTTATACGATTTCGATATTTAAACTTAATTCGACTTTATTTAAAGTTACCGATTTTAGTATAGCTTTATAATTAAGGTATGTAATGTATTGCTAATTTTTTAGAATACTTTTTTTTTACATATTTTATAATTTGAAATAATCTACATTTATTCTTTATTTCTTCTAAAAATATATCTCTTTTATACATATGTTAATTTTTTATCACTTTTTATATCATCCTTATATCTTTCTACTTGGAATTTTTCATACATTCTAACTTCATGAATTTCGTTATTTAAAAGAATGTCCTGTTTTAAGACTTGTTTTGTTATTTAAAATTTTATACTAATGTATCCCCGTTTTATTTTGTCCCAATTTTTTTTCTGTTGACATTATTATGATCACGGGATTGCATACAACATCAATCGAATAATTTTGCAGCATTCGATTAGTTTAATCTTGCTTAGCACAATTATCAGAGGATATTGATTTGTGCAAATGTTTAAAAAAATGTTTTCTTTTTTAGCGATTAAGAGTTGAACTGAAAAAGTGTATTATTTTCGAAAGTTCGTCTGTTGCTTACATTCAGTTTGTTAAGTTCTACTGAGATAGCTGTTAAAATTGTTTTGCATTTGAAATCTCTGGTATCGTTATTTGAATCATTTTTCATCATTAGATCGGTATAATCTTAATTACCGTACTTATCGGAGGATACCGGTTTGTGTTGCAATTTTTAAAAAAATATATTTTGACTGTCAAAAGTTGTATTGAAACGAAAGCATCATTTTTTTTTTTTTTTGTAAACTAATTAATTTTTTATACTCAGTTTTTGATTGGATTACAGCATTTAGTATTTATATATAGATTGAAATAGCGTATGAAAAATTTGTTTTTGCACATTTTTAATACACATTTGTTTTTAATTTCTATAATTTGCACTGATTTACGGCTGTTTTTGTTCACAATGTTTATTAAAAATTTAGTTTGTGCTTAGATATCCTAAATACACGAATTATCCAAGAATTTTTAAATTTTCTTGAAGGAAAAATTGAATTTTTTTGCAAAACTTGCACGTTGTTCTAGCAAAGAATTTGAAACGCTAAATTGAGACATTGAAAGCTGAAAACGATTTTTAAAATGCACAGAAAGAATGTAATTTTCTTGTTTTAAGTTATACTTTTTGTAGCATCTATTTGTAAGACTTATTTTAATGCATTTATTTTTATAGAAAATGGGAATTCAAGGATTTATTTGGTTTTAAATTATTATATGGTATAAGAAATGTAAAATTGAGAGACTATCTGTGAAATATAATATAAGCAATAGCAATTGAAAATACTAATAATAAGATATATGAATAATAAAAATTAGCATTTAAAAAATAAATAATAATTAATAATATATAAAGAATAATGGTGATGGTATTTAGCACTAGCTAAGTACTTTTCCCATAGTGGTACTTTTTCCTAACTTACGAATGATGAATGAAGATTCTGTATTACGATATTTTGTAAATATGAGAATCCAGAATAAGAGAATACAGAATTCAGTCACTCAAAACTTCTGTCTCACAGTGTTTTATATGAATGATATTTTGTCTGTCAGTATTTTATCGTTCTATCGCTCTAAGATTCTATTTCCTTCTGGATTGTCTGGATATCTCTTGATGTTTTTTTCAAAACAATTTTGGTGATGCTATTAATTGATTTATATGTTGGCATCGACAAAATATGACTAAAAACGTGAATTATAAATAAACAAAAGGCATTTTTCTCACCAAAATATCCATATGCATCATTTTTACGAAATTTGCTTATCCCATTTATGCTACCCGTATCTCTCGGTAAATTTGTTATTATGTCTGATGATTTGGCATTCATTGACTTTACCGTCATTAAAAAAAAACTCAGTCACTTTTTTAGGATTTATTTGTATTGTTACCAATAGATACCAATAATTGCAAATATCAAGTCTTTACTTTTGTTTTTATTTTTCGAAAATGCATTTTTCAAAGATAACAACTTCAGAACGGGTTAAGTTTTAGTCAGACTCTTAGAAAGTGACAGTTTTCTTGATAATTAAAGGAAAAGGTGAAGGTTTCAATGGGTGTTAACGCATCTACCATTCGAAATAGCATCGTGACGCCCTATTGTTTTCTTTTTCAATTCTATTATTCTAACCGACAAAGATGTGCTAATGTTAGTTTCCAGCACAGACGGGTGCAACACAGATGCAAATACGGATGAAGAAATCATACCTCTCACTTTTTCTATTGAAATATCTGTTGACAGATAATCAAGCATTTTAAGAATTTTGCCTCCCAAATTTAAAATATAAAGAAATTTTGCATTTATATTTTTCTAAGAAATGTGTTTAAAATAGCCGTCGAATTTTTCTCGTCCTCAGAACTTTTTCTCTTCTTTTTCTGTAAAGTTTATCTAGCATTAAAGTGCATTTTCATGCTTCTAATAATGCAACAAAATTATGAAATGGAAATGTAAACTCTTTTACAGAATCGTCTGCCTTAAAAAAAAATATTTTTAAGCAGACGATTCTTTTTCAAGCAGACGAACTTCATAGTTTTGATGTAAAAAAATTCATCTGACATTATAAAGTATTTTCATATGCAGCAGAACAATAAAATCTAAAGTTAAAAAAAAGAACATTAATAAAGATCATTTGAAAATTTGTATTTTCTTTCCTTAAGAAATAATTTTTCAATAAAAATAAGCATCTCAAGATACCTTCAGAGTTTCTAATTATTCCGTAACTGACAGTATTTCATAGCTTAAAATATCATTTAAGCCTATTTTCCAGGAAAATATGAAATCGCATTTTTGATTCGCTTTAACACATTAAAAGAGAATTGCTGCTAAGTTACCTTTTTAAGTTAGCAAAACTCCTAGTACCATTGATTAGTACCAATTTAAAAAATATTTACTCGTTGTAAAAATGTTAAAAAGAACAAAGTTTTTTAGATGAATATAGTATATAATTAATTACATAATATGCAAAATATACAAAGTGTAATGTATTATACTTAGTTTTGAGTATACAATTACTTTATACAAAAAAATGAAAGTACACTGCTAGAAATTCATAATATGATAATAGAATATCATATTACGGTATAAACTATAGTCATTTTGGATGCACCATCCGTAAAATCCCTTTTTACCCTCCAGCATTTTAAAACATTATACCGCAGATTTTACAGTAATATTGATCTAATTAGAGTACTGTAATTATTACTGTAAAAATTACAGATTAAAAGAGTTTTTTATTGTGTAACAAGTTTCGATAAAGATGAATTTTTACAGTGTTTTTTAGAGAGAGAAAATTATCTCTCTGACTAAGGATAATTTTTCCTTTCTTTATTGAAAAATTTTCTGAAATATTCGATTTGGTTTTAAGACTAAAAATATCAATTGATCATGAAAAAACATGGCAAAAAGAAAAATCAAAAAATCAAAACCTCTTTTCAAAATGAATTCCCAAACAAAAGTCGACAAAACTATTGTGCTTTTAGATATTCCAAAGCATGTAAAAATGTGTAGTGCTTAATTAAATTGCCTTATCTAAAAAAAATCTTCTCCGTCAAACATACAAATACAAGATAATAATACGCATTTCTTTTCGTTTAGAACTTTAATTAACCGTGTAAGTTATAGGAAAACACGTCTCAGTAGAAATGATACAACTTAGATATGCATGTTCCGACCTTGACTTTCGCCAGAGAAACTTATGTTTTAAAAACTTCTGTTTCATTTCCAATATTCTAAAGCAGCAGTTGTTCTTATCCAGTAGTTTTGAAATCTTAGTATTCTAAATAGTAGCTTGATAGTAATAGAATTTGTCGTTCTAAAACTAATGAGCTTTTTTTTTTAAAACTTGCGCTCAAAATAAAGTTTTCCGCTTCAACGAATGAATTAGTTAAGAATCCAGAGTTGGAAGAATTTTTTCTAAAATCTAATGGAATGTAAATAAATAGAGTTTTGTTCCACTTCATATTGTTCTATATATAGCATTAACTAGACATTAAAAAAGAAGTAGAAAACGATAGGCTGTTATAAATCCTCCTCATAGTAATTGGTAAAAAAAAGTTGGTCAACTTTGCAAGTCGGGTTTTCCAGTTAGAAAGGAAAAGTAAACAAAATTTGCATATTACTATCTTGAGAAATGAGACATTCTTTCTAACTTAATTTTTTTATACTCTGAATAAATAATAATAAGTACAAGAAGCTGGAACTAATAGTTTAAGAGTTATACTTGTTTTTATCTAGAAAAAGTACAATACTTAACTTTTTCCTTATTTACGTATCTGACATTATCTAGTTTGATTTAGTTAAATGTTACCTACATACTACGTAGTTATATTGGGAGGAATGTAAAACAATATTGCTCGGCAGAAGAAAAAAAACAGTTCCAATTTCTAGAAGAAAAGAAAAAAGCTTCAAAGGTTGCGGTTGTAAAACATTTGACGCTTTAACCACAATAAGCGCAATATATGTACACATATTTGTCAACTGCGACAATAAATAACTATTTTCTTTTATTAATAAAAAGCAACATTTATAACTATTTACAGATGTTGTCCAATAGGACTACCCTTTTAAAGTTTTCGTATTTCATGTAATGTAATTTATATAGAAATCGCGTCTCTGCATTTTCTTATGTAGGAGCGCTATTACGAACTTTTTGCCTCAGTGATGCCATCAAAAGACAATAAAAAATAATGTCATAAAATAATTTTAAAAGGAAAATAACATCACTTTATGGGCATAATTTTAATATATTCAGGGAGAATTTTATTTCATTTTATTTTACAACCGTTGTTGAACAGCGACCCAATGTATGATTCACGACTACCAATGCTCAACCCCATAACATTGTAATTTTGAACCCGATCCAGAAGGTAAGAGAACTACAGAATCGTGTAATGGGAGAAATTTGCCTTCGTGGAGAACTTTTTGGATGAAATTAACCCGCATTTGCGTTACAGGGAGAGAAAAAACACGAAAACCTCCCACTGTTAGTTTAACGGCAAATGGACTCCTAACAACATGATCCGTCTACCACTGAGGAAATTTTACGACAGCAATGTTGTCGGTGCAAGCCGTGTGCGGAATTCGAATCAACCAGCCAGCACTGAGATTCGAACCCGGTTAACCTCATTTGAAAGCGAGCACTCTATCCCCTGAGACACCACTGCCCAATGGGAGAATTTAAGAGTCCAAGGTTTTTATAATTCTTTTAAAATTAGTTATTGTAATTTAAAGGAAAAAGTGTTGCAACCCGCCATAAATTTATCATCACGATTTTCATGATAATGAAATAATAATTAAAATAAAATTAAATTTTAGTGATATTGAAATAAATAATAAATTTCACAAATTAAAAAATTTATTTTAAAAAAAATGTATTTCACTAGAATTTTAAATTATCCTAACAAGGTTATGGAATTTACCAGATATTTATGTACTTATATTAATTACATAATCTTGTTTAATTGCAGCAAATATGAATCATCGATCTAGATTGGTACTGTTATCTCTTGGAACAGTATTCTTAGCCAATGCAGTAGCATCATCACTAGTTCAGAGTATCCACTCCAACTCAAATCAGCTTCTCCAAAATATCCTGACTCCCCAAGTAGTAGCAGCAGAACGGACATTAGATGCTTCAAGTCTTGTAGAAATGATCATGTTTGGACTCGCAGGAATTCCAGTCTACAAAGCAGTCGGTTTTCTGTTGCCATTTTTAAAAACAAAAAAGAATCAAGCCAAGCAGAAAGACATGGGGAGAGTTTTACAAAGAGGGCGCAGCAAGCGAGACTTGCCCTATGCGCAACAGTTGCTGGACCTACTAATATCCGTGGAAACTGCTCTTGAGAAATATGGTGTAACCGAACCTCAATGTCAACTCCGGGCTACTTGCCAAATTTATAAGAGAAGTGCTGGTAACAAATCTCGTAAATCCGACAAGAATTTCATTAAACTAGTCAAGTAAGTATCATCAGTTATTGGATTTCTTAATGAGACATGCAATGCTTGTGCGAATAATCATTATTATTTCATCATTTTGAATCATACGAATAATACTAAAATACTAAAGACCATACGAATAATACTAAAGACATTCCACTATGATATAAGACAAAATTAACTGTTACCGCCAGCCACAAGGCAATTGAATATAGCAAATGGCTGTTAAAAAATTATTTGATCACCGCTATTTTTCTTCGTAATTTTCATTATTATTATTTTTTAAATATATGGAGTTACTATAAATATGTGGAATTATTATAAGTACACGGAATTATTATAAGTGCATGGAATTATTATAAAAATTTTATAATATTCTGAAAATTACTTTATTTTACGATTGCTTTTTAAACTTTTTCTTTATTTTAGAAATGATCCTCATAATGTTTATCATATTTTAAGAAATGCTTCAAATGAAATGGCTTTCATAATTATATAATGTATAAATATGTGCAATAATAATAAGTATGCGGAATTATTATAAATATATGGAATTGTTATAAAAATTTTATAATATTCGGAAAACTACTTTGCTTAACGATTGTTTCTTAAACTTTTTCTTTATTTTAGAAATGATCCTCATAATGTTTACCATATTTTAAGAAATGCTTCAAATGAAATAACTTTCATAATTAATATTAACAGATTTTTTAATCGTTTAAAATGTTCAATTTTTGAACTGTTACAACTGCAATTGTCCGTCGGCCAATAACGAAATTTCCCAATTTTTTCCTATGCACTTTTTAACGCATTTTCCAATGTCGTTTTGCTCCTGTTGCAATAAAACCCTCAACTAAATTTACCAGGAAACGTTTAGTTGATGAAGGATTCGGATTTGAAACATTTGCAATTTTGAATTTTTCCCCTTCTTTTGATTTCTAATTTTCTCTTTAAAATTAAATTGTTTTACATTATTGACAGAGTAAAGAAAAAACCACAATGATATTTTGTGATTGATTGAAAAGCAATTATGCAATAACTATAAGAAATAAAACTTAGCAGAACTGAAGAGGAGAAGGAAAAGGTTTCTTAATTTTGTCGCGCATTTTTTTTTTCTAGGAAAATAGGAAAAATCGTTATAAATGAAAATGGAATTTCTTTAATTTAAAAGAAGAGAGTGAATTAAAGGGAAATATATTGTAACCTGTAATAGAATCGAATTCCAAATGGAATATATATTCGAAATTTTAAGCACCCTTTTTTGTTGTTGTTGTTTTCCTTTCATTTTTGATCCGAAAAACAGTACAAATTAAAAACTAGTGTGTTTTTCCCCCTTCTAAAATTGGGAAAAATCAATTTTTAAGAGCACGACTTTTTAAAATTGAAAACCTCCGAAACAATTCGACCGATTTCGGTCAAATTTTGCAGTTTATTATTTAAAATTATGAAAGAAGAGTGGAATAAAAAAGAGTGGAAGACTTTCCTTCAATTTCAGTATATATTTATATCTTTTTTTCATAAAACACGTAAACCAATCCGAAAATTTCAAATTTTTAATTTTATTTACAAACTTATTAACTTTGTTATGAACTTGTTTAACTTTTTTCCCTTTTTTCTTCCCACAGCGAGATGCGAAGAGAAATTCAAAATCCAAAAGTTGTTCCACTCGCCAAGTACGTCTTCGAATATTACGAAGAGGCCGCCATTCGTGGCGAACAACAGTGCGATTGTCAAGAAAAATATCCGAAATGTGTCGCCAGTTTCCAAACGTTTTTGAAAAAGCCTAAGGGAAGGAGACCACAAAATCAAGTTCGAAATCATCAATAATAGGTCGAAATTGTTTTAACAAAACATCCAGCGATTTCAAATCATTTTTTTCTAATTTGTACCTAAGAGCTTTTAAGTCACTTGAATCAGCTTTAGTAATTCCTTTATACAAAATGAACTTATCATTCAAATTTGTTTTGTTCTTTTAAAAAACATGCTCTCTATTCTGCGAATCTGTTGAAACATGGTTTAGTGTCTATTAGCTACGAGCTAGTATTGTTTTCAGATCATCGTCGAGGATGAATCCCAGACCGTCGCCAAAAATTCATAAGTTGAGATATTTTCCATTGCGTTTAACCATAAGGTTAACCTTATTTTCTACCGCTTAGCAATACATTTTTTTGCAGAGAAACTTTATCGTTACCGTGAACCCTGTGTGCATCTTTAATAATATATAAGCGGCGTTGATCAGCAATTCTGAGTTTACGACTAACACTGTTCAACGTCGATACCTAGTAATTTTGAACCCCACCCGGAAGACAAGAGAACTCCTGAATCACACATTAGGATAAACTAGCCTCCTTGGAGGAATTTTAGATAAAATTAACCCGTATTTGCGTTACCGTTACATGGAGAGAAAAACCACGAAAACCTTTCACTGATCCCCTAGCCCGATGGCAAAGGGATTCTAACCCATGTTCCGTCTACAACTGAATATATTTCTTATCTGCACTATGGTCGGTGTGATCCGGGAGCAGAATTCGTATCAACCAGCCACAACTGGGATACGAACCTAGGTCACCTCATGAGGCGAACACTCCATCCTCTGAGCCGCTACTGCTCATGGATCTCTAGTATGACGTTAATTACGAATCAAAACGAATACGGTAACATAAATTCAAATTAAATGTGAAACCTCCGTTTTGGAAGTGCTGATTAAGTGGCTTTTAATTTTTCTTAATTTATTTTAATTGTACCTCATTGTATTGAACAAAGTAAAAGAATTTCGTGATATTTTCTGTATTATATATATATATGTGTATGATTATTAATCGTGTATTCATAAGAACTTCCATTTTATATTTATAAACTGCTCAGTATCATTTCCTCTAATTGTATGGTCGTTTTCTTAGACGGCGTTGTACCTTGTTTTCGTCCGTAATAATTAAAAGGTATCTTATACATTTTTTTTCGATGCAAGCTATTTAAGTTTTAAATGTTAACAATTAAATCATTTATATTGTAGAGTGTCTTTATGATTTGAAGGCATGGAGATGTCTTCGAATTTTCTAACTTCATAGTTTATTACGAACTTCATAGAACTTCATAGTTCTTCAAATAGAAAACTTTTATTTACTTCTGTTTAAATACCGAATCCGGTCTAACATTTAAGATTTGAACCGGTATGGTGACAAATTTATTCATAATTGAATAATTTTGATTTTTTTTAATGAAATTCATGGCATAAGAGCTACTAACTACATTGTGTGACACATTCTTTCAACCACATGATTTCAAAAATAAATGTATTAAAATTGCTATAAATAAAATGTTTACTTGATACTTAATCACTCTATGTCTGATACAATACATCAGTTAAGCAATTTCCTAATATATATATTTTTTTGAAAGTATGAAAAAGGAGAAGGAAATATACAAACTTAGATAGATTTATGTGTCTAAATATAATCTCACTTTAGTGGTGCTTTTACTGTAGTGTAATTCAGTATTATATGTTTTGTGTTGTTTGTTATTTATATATTGGTGTATTTTTCATAACATGTAAATAAAAAACATTCCTTTGCTCAGTCTGACAGTTTTTAATTATTATTTTATTAATTTATTTTAATATTTTTTTGGACTGTCGTTGAACAACTCACAATATTTTTTTTTTGGGGGGGGTGCACGGCTACCAATGTTCAACTCCTTAACCCTGTAATTTTGAACCACCCAATCCAGATGACAAGGGAACTCCTTGATCAAACATTGCGACAAACTAGGCTTCGTGGAGGACTTTTGGATGGAACTTATCCGCATTTGCGTTACATGAAGAGGAAAAGCACGAAAACCTCCCATGGTTAGCCCGACGGCATACGAGAAGTATTATTCGAAACAAACAAAATACAGAAAAATAGTAATAGAATATTAATTATATATAATTGTTAGAAAAAGTTATGAAGTCCAATGTACAAAAACAATAAGATGATAAGCGCATTTTCGATGCAAAAGTTCTTAAACGGTCACTTGACCGGTTATGCTATGTTTAGTGTTAAAAATGCTATTTCGGTAAACGCTAATGTGTCCTTTTTTCTTGTTTTTATTTCTCATAAAATCATGATCCGCTTACCACTGAATATATTTTACGTCAGCATAAGCAGATAACTTTCATTTAAGTACAAAAAAAGGTAGCAAAATTATTTCATTTTTAGCATTTATTTAGAACGCGTGATATCTAAGATCAATAGATAAATTATTTACAAGTATTTTTTTTTAATAGGAAATCATTTAATAGTTTCATTTAAACAAAACAAAAGATGAAGTTATATTAAAGACTTAGATAACAGAAAAATTTATTTATATTTATATGTTATAGTTATAACATGTAAATAAATATAAATTTTATTATTTATATCTAGAAATGATAAATTTATTTACTAAAGTGAAACTTCTAATGCGACTTCCAACAAGGTTGCGTTAAACGTTTAACGCTACCATGGCAACGAGCGGCCTGTGATCCTTGCAGGAGATTATAATGTGAATTTCTCGTTACCTGAAGCTGAAACAATATTAACCTTCCTTAAAGACAAATTTGGATTGGAAATGATAAATGGTAGGAATGATCCAACAACCAAAGGGGGAACTACCATTGATGCAGTTTTTGCAAGAAATATTGAAAAAATAGAACTCAAACATTTCGTATCTTACTTTAGTTATCATAATCCCATTGTAAATGTTATAGATTTGGATATTTCTCCACTCGAAAATGATAATTAAAAGATGCGATCAATTGTGAATTGTAAGCAATGTTAATAAAGTTTGTCTTAAAGAAACAATATGATTTCACTAAAAATCAATTTCTACCCCTTCCTATTTTCATTTCCACATTACGAAGTTTCACTTCTTCCGCGCGGAAGGACTCCACGCACTATTTTTTTATGTATTACGATGTAATTATGAGCACTGTTTCATTAATAAAATGTAGACTATTTATACACCTCATTCATGTATTTAGTTTAACTTCGTATTTCTTGGTCCTGATTGATTTTTACTTGCCAACAACAGGCGGTGGACTAAATAATGAAAACACTTTTATAGCAATACATTTTTTAATATTTCTCCAGAAATGCTCATCGAATTATTTTATAACTTCAGAAGTGTTTAGGTCATGCGATTTCTCACACATATTAGTGAAGTTTGCAGCTTTAAGATGTTTGAGGGACCGACAATTAATTACAAAAGGAAAATAATGTTTTTGAACATCCTATTCCAAAAAATGTAATAACAGATTTGAAACTTGTGACAATTATTTTGGTTATTATATGCAATAATTACACTAAGTGCCGCGAGCCTAGTTTAAATATTGATGGAGATATGGTTATTTTTATAAAAAACTAATTGTTTTGTCTTAAGTTTTTTTCATATAACTTTAAAAATATTTAACAAAAAAAATTTTTAGAGCAATTTAAAATATGTTACAATATTTTTGCTTTAAAATTTGAGAAAATTTGCTTAAAACTGCTCATGATATGAGAAATTGAATTAATTCTTTTACACAGCGCATACGCGGGAAAAATTATTAAAAAAATTTCTTTATCTTATAGTGAATCATATTTGAAGACCGATTTGAATATCTTAAAAATTCAAAAAAAATTTCTAGCAATTTTCAAAGTAGTTATCGTATTTTTTTAAAAGAAACCTCAAAATAACAAGGGGTTTCTATAAATATTATAATACATCATAAGGCAGGATTTAATAACAAATGATAATACCTTACAAAAAATTTTCATACATTAAAATGTGATTTAATAAGGAAAGAAAACATGCAACAAAAAAGGGATACTTTTATGGAGGATGATCACCAACAATGCCGGCGTCATTTCTAATAAATCTTGTTTAATTAAACAAATGTGGAAAATCCCTTATCATTTTGTGTTCTTTTAAGAAGTAGAAAACTACTTAGAAAATTGCTTGAAACTTTTTAAATTCTTTAGACATTCAAATCGGACTCTTTTTATTAGGTGCCATATACGATTCACTACAAAATTAAGAAAAAAAATTTTGTTAATTTTTACCTCGCACGCTCAGTGTAAAAAAACTCGTTTAATTGCTCATATCTTGAGCAGTTTTATACGAACTTTTCTCACATTTCGAAGCAAAAATTTTATAATTAATTTTAAATTGCTCTATAAATTTTGTATACATTTATTGAATGTTTTTAAAGTTGTAGCAAAAAAAAACGTCTGATAAAAAAATTGGCTTTTTCTTATAAAAATGTCCATGTTTCCATAAATATGTAAGCTATTCTTGCGACATTTTGCGTAATTATTGCATATAACAACCAAAATAACTGTCACTAGTTACAAATGTACTTCTACATTTTCTGATATAGGGTGCTCCAAAACACTATTTTCCGTTTGTAATTTATTGTCGGTCCCTCTAACCTCTAAAAGCTTTAAACTTCATGGATATGTATAAGAAATTGCACGATCTGAAGTTATAAAATGATTCTTTTATTATTTCTGGAGAAATTTAGATTATTTTGTCCACCCCCTGTACTTCCCAATATCTTCGAAGCTTTGAAATTTTCTTCATTTATGTGTTTCCGATGACAATACGATGTTTATACATTTTCAATGCATGAAAATTCAAATAACTTTATTTAAAAGAAATTAATTAAAGCTGAAAATTTACCTTTCACACTCAATTCCTGAATTCGCTGGGAGTTTTATTCTCTCCTTGAAATAGTTTAGACTTTAGACATTAATTTTCCCTCATCTATTTTCAAAAAGAGTAAATACAAAATTGGTGCATGAGCCTACGCTACAAGGTTTGTTTTTCAACTAGATTCCAGATAGCTGTTACTGAAGCCTTATTTCCTTTATTTTCGGTTTGAATTTTTTTTCTCCCAGAAAAATGAAATTTGATTCACTTAACGGTTGTTTTCTTCTTCTTTTTTATTTTCTAATTCGCAGTTCAAATTAACTATAGGTGGCGCTACAATCTCTGTCTAATGCTGTGTTTCTTAAGCTTTTTGATATAATGGAACCCTCTTAAAATTTTTTAAGAAGTCACGGACCACCCCCCTATGAAAAAAATAACTGTAAAAAACATCAATTATTAGAAAACATTTAATTTTATTATTTTAATAGTATACAAAATTTTTAAAATTGAAATTTTGAATGTGAAGGTTGCTGCTGCTTTTCCTTAATTAATACATTGAATTGGGGGATGATTTTCGACAAAGCAACGTGCCTATCATGTTCAACATTCAATCAATTTGGATGTTATGTTTTTATTGTCATAAGTGTGGAAAATCCCTCTTTGCAAAGATACACTGTAGCAAACGGAATTATAGCTGCCATAGCTCGCTTTACAAGCAATGGGTAGGCTTCCAAACGTTTTNATTGAATTGGGGGATGGTTTTCGACAAAGCAACGTGCCTATCATGTTCAACATTCAATCGATTTGGATGTTATGTTTTTATTGCCATAAGTGTGGAAAATCCCTCTTTGCAAAGATACACTGTAGCAAACGGAATTATAGCTGCCATAGCTCGCTTTACAAGCAATGGGTAGGCTTCCAAACGTTTTAAAAATTAGGAGCAGTCAGCGTTTCCCCAAAATATAACTCATGGACCGCTTAGGGGTTCATGAACCACAGGTTAAGAAACCCTGGTCTAATGGCTCCCAAAGGAAGTAACACAATCTGATCTAGTACTTGTTAGCCTGCTTAGAAGCGTAGTATCTGTCTGAATTTTCCTTATTTGTTTATTGCATTTTTTTAAAATCAAATTTCCCTGCGGTGGATTATGCATATCTAACGGCAATTTCATTTGTTAACATTCTGCCATTAAAGGAAATCACCTTTTCATTTGGAAAATAATAAAAATTAACATTATCTCAAGAAGCTTGATAAAGACGTAGAGAAGCATAACAAAGTTGATTACTGAAGGAAGGACAATATTTTAGCCACGACGATCACTGTAAGATCGCCTATTAAAATCTTAATAGTAATGGTGATTTGAGTAGAAGTTGATTTCTTTTTTTTATCATATTGCTCATTATACTTACTTTATTGTAAGCTATAAGCTAACAACATTCGGAAGAGAATGTTTCAAAATGAAGTCCTTTCATCATCACACCCGAAGTTGCTTGAACTCCAAAGTTTATGGTTATATTTGTATTACGATCGATATCGAACATCTTAAAGTTCTAATTCCTAAATCTTGAAAACATATTAATTTATACATAACTTTCAGTCTCAACTTTGTTCAAAATGTCAACCGTTGGCACTAGAGATATACTGCTGGGTCTTATTGATGACATAGAGCTAATTGCCAAGTAATATTTATTTCTCTTTAAAAGTTTTATACTTTCTCTTTCTCTCTTGTTTTTAAATATAATTCCTTTTACAGAGAGCTATTTGAAAGTCTTATAGCTCCAAAAGGGCAACGATTGTCTCCATCAGAGTTAGGACAATTGGCTGAACTTTTAGTTATGAAGGATCAAGAACTAAAAGCTGCACTTGTAACTGGTATTGTACTTTTATATTTATTTAAAAACTGTACAAAACTCTCATTGGTTAAAGTACTAACATCTATTTATCATTACACTGTTTAAAAGTAAATAAATGTGCATGTTATTTAGATCATTTCATAATACTATTACTTCATTAAACATGTTCTTAACCTTTAGTTCAAATTAATAATGTAGATTAACTTTATTTTAATTTTCTTTAAAGTTTCCTGAATAGGAATGTCTTCATTTGATCATTGATTCATTGTCTTCATGATTTATGCTGTTATATCTCCGAAACTTATTAGAATTCGGATATTTTTATTTGGCGGTTGATTCCTTTGGAGAATTTCCATAGTGCGATATACTCCAAAATTATAGTCAAGTTACATCTTCTAATATTGTGCATAAACTTTAGACATATTTCCCATTCCTTTAGAAATAGATTTATTTTGTTTTAATCTCCTGAAGTTTCCTAAATAGAAGTGTCTTTATTTTATCAGTGATTCACTGTCTTCATGACTTATATTGTTATATCTCCAAGACTCAGGTTCAAAAATTCAGGTATTTTTCATTTGGTTTTTAGGAAGATTTCCCTAGCGTGATTTAGGTACTGCAAAATTATTGTCAGGTTTCATCTTTTAATAATGTGCATGAACTTTTCAGTGTTTATTTTAGATTGAAAAGTTTTGCTTTATACGGGAACAATATCATGAAATTAAAACACTTAGTTCTGCCTTTAGAAAGAAATTATGATTTTTAATTATTATAAACAAAGTGCTTTTCAGGATCTTGAATGATTTTGCAATTTGTGATTTTGTTGCTATTCTTCTATCCACTTTCTTTGAATTTCAGCTCACAGGATTTACGATTCTGATTCCTAAATTCTATTAGCAATAGCTGGGGCGATTTCCGTATCGTAATGTGGCCGAATAATCACCAAGTCTTGGCAACTTCCGTGCAGCGGCCTGCAAGAAACTGAAAAAAAAAAGAAAAAAACATCACGGAATGACATCGCGTCTATGGAACAGCAAACAAGACTCCGTGTAGTGTAATGGAAGGGTGACTCTAATTTGGGGGTGGTACAAATTAGCATAGACTATATGTATAACAGACTTAAAATCAATGTGGTCCCCTTGATTGGAAATTGAGTGATAATATGCTGTTATGATTTTTTGTTTTCAATTTCATCTTTTTTCTATGCTTTTGTCACAGAATAGCATGTTTCACCCTAGTCATGAGCATTTTCTTTTTATTGTAATTTTTCATTAAAATTCACTTTATTATTATTATTATTATTTTTTTTTTTTAAATCTAACTGTGGCAGGGGAATGATTTAGTGAAAATTTTTATGGACTAGTTATATCTCTTAGTTAACTGTGACTAAACTTTGCTAATCACTACTCCTGTTTACATACATTTATATTTTAATTTGATCCAAACGCATGAACTAGGCCGATTTATTTGATATCAATTATCGTGAACACAGGTACCAATAAAAAAATATCTTCACCTTTTTTTAGATCAAGGTAGGTAATTTTTGTTAAATGCTTATTAATAGAAGATTTTCTGTTCTGCATAAGCAGAGCTTTTTTTTTTCTATTTATAATTACAAATAAAATAAGAAGATAATCTTATTTTCCCTAAAAAGGGCAAATTATTATATTTTGAACTCCTACAAAGCAAATTACAGTTTTCTGCTGTAAAAAATCAAATTGCATTTGTCAATTAAAAGCCTCGATATTGAATTTGTTTTCCATACAACTACAAGTGTTTGAGAAATTTCTTTTTCATTTAAGACCTTTTAATTTTTTTTTTTCCATAAAGTTTAAAATTGTGCTATTATGGATGTAAAATTCAGTTTCCTTTTGTTATTTATTCTTATTCTGTTTACTCTCTGATATGTACTCGAGTAAAAACATTCCTTATAAATCTGATAATGAATTGTGTTTTTTTTTTTTTAAATTTTATATATTGAATTTTCTTCAGCTGCTGAACAGTCTGAAATTCAAAAGAAAATTGATGCCCTTCAAGTTGAAGTAGAAAAACAAGATAATGACATCCAGCATTTACAGAAGTATCTCAAAGAAGCTGAGCATCTTTTGGTTTGTTACTTTTTCCGCATTACATTATGCTATGTTGCAATTTTTTATTAAAGTATTCGAATCTATTACAGATAGTTATAACATTTACAGCATGATTATTCTAATCAAGATTATACACAATCACAATTTACAATTACATTGTAATTGTGATGACAAGTGTTTAAAATGTATAATTACATTATGAACAAAGATTACTTATGATCCTGATTACTTGAATTGGTAAATCATGATTATTTGTAATAATGTTTATAATTCATTATCAAAACAGCTTAACAACAGATGTTTAGAATGCTTTGCCTAATGTAACACCTGGCTTGCTTTTAGTATTGACTTCTAGATAGTCATAAGAACTTTTAAAATTCTAAGTTAGGCCAGTAGTTCCCAACCTTCTTAGCCGTCAGACCACTAATTATATAAAATAAAACTTTGAGGCCCACTAACTACCACCAAATCTTACTAGAACTGTTTAGCCATCCTGAAAAAACGGTATTACATAGTTGCCAAATCTTTTGCAACTTTAATTTTTGCTTATTTTAGCTATTTTTCTGCTTTTTTTTATGCAGAAGGTAAGATTTTCTGCATTTTTACCTGCCTGTACCATAGCTCGTATTTTCTTTTATCCAGTTGTCACTCCTCCCCTTGTAACGGCCTTGGGGAGCCCGCTCACTAATGGATTATATTTCTCAAGGAATTCAACCTTTTCTGCGAGAGGGCTTTCCATTTTCACGAGATTTCCTGTTTGCCGTTGCAAGGACACAATTACAAAGTTGTATGTGTAGAAAGTAAAAGTGGTGGAAATAATAATTTCCTCATTTGATTACTCTTGTTAATTTTTATTTGTTATGGCTGAACTAAAACAATATAAACAAGTCTTTAAGGAGACTTATTCCCTAGAATTTCCATTTATTTCTAGATTGAATCTTGAAGTTCATGGTGTGCATTGCATGTAAAAATGCCTTTTGCATCACACATGGTGGTAAAACTGATATAGTCGGACACGTAAAATCGACAAAATGCCTGAAGAACGAAGAATATTCGTTTAATGCAAAAAGCGCTACTGAAACATCTTTACAGCATTAATTATTTTAATAATGTAATTTTTTACATTAATTCTAATAAGTTTATATGTCTATAAATATATATATAATATTGCATTCTATAGATTAATTGTTATTTTGCAATTAAAGTAAATAATGTTTGTATGAGACTTAAAATATTATATGTTTCCATTATATTCAATTGAAAGAATTTAGATACAATCTAACACTTCTGCCTGTTTTCTTTTTAAAATTAGTTATATGTGTCTAGAGTAATTATCTGCATGATCTTGAGACCTATGCCTTAACAAATGGTAGAAAATTTAATTTTTTGTCATAAATATAAAACTTAAATAAAGTACCATACCTCAGGAAATTATTATAAGCAAGTTAAGGGGCCCACAACCTGGCATATTATTTAAGTATACATGTATTTTTAATTAAGTTTTTAAAGCCTATTTTTTATCATGGATATTATAAAAAATAGGCTTTAAGAATTAATGAATAAAATTTTATTCAAGTGCTTTAGTTGTTTTTAATTATTGCATAAAAGGAATAAATTTTAGTTTATTGCACAATTATATATTATTGGATTTTTTATAGTGTCTTCATATTTTGGTCTTGACGTAAAAATCATGAGACTAAAATTATAAGATATTTATGTGTTTGAAAACTGTTTGAAAAGTTATTTGAATCAAATGTCTTATCTTTCTTTTTATTTATTGTTGTGATTAAAAATTCTGGCTAACAAGATTACAACCAATTATGATTTTACATAGACAATCGCTTTACTCCATATATAAAATGAAAAAAAAAAAATCTTGCAATATTATTTATTAAATGATATTGAATGATGATATATTGGACAATGGGTCTCCAAAGGATATGTTTGTTTGTTTCTTTTTCTACCCCCCCNTTTTTCCCCCCCCCCCCCCCACCTTTATCGCTAAATATTTTATCTTAATAATTATTTTTTTCCCTTGTTTTAGAAGTTGTCAAAAATATATGTGCTAAAAATGTTTTAAATAAATAGATATTCACAAAAAATCACAAAATTACTCTCTGATGGTTTTTTACATGCTTAACAAAAAAATTTAAAATTGTAATTTCCACTTTGTATTATGAGTTTCTATAGACTATTGAAATAAACATGCAGTGAAGTGAAATTAAGTATAATTCATGCACAGTTTTATGTTATCTGTACTGCCTTCCTCAACAGTGATTCTTTAGATTTATATTACATTTTGTATTTTTTACCTCGCTTAAATATTAGTTTTTGACCCCTTTATGTGTATACTTTTTTCCCAAAGATTCTAAAAATATATACTTAAAATGTTTTTTTTTTATGGTTCTTTCTGTATTTGCTTAAATGTTAAACATATGTTGCTCAAATGTTTCAGGCTACAGCAGTATATCAAGCTAAACAAAAACTCCAGTGTCATGCTAAGAGCAGTGAAAAAAGTGTATCTTTGGAGGAACTCATCAAATATGCTCACAAAATAAGTTGCTCTTACGCTGTTGCTGCACCCCATAATTGGCAACCTGGTAAATAAATTGATAATTTTCATGATTTCTTTAAAATTAAAAATTGAGCCACGATGGCTATGGAAATAGAGGGTTCGCCATCCAGTGCTGCGAAGCGCATTCGAATCCTAGTTAATCCAAGTTCCGCATCTGGCTTGCTCCGACCACAGTGCTGACATGAAATATCCTCAGTGATCATGGGTTAGAGTCCTCTTGCTGTCAGGCTAACCGTGGGAGGTTATCGTGGTCTTCCTCTCCATGTATCGCGAATGCAGGGTTAGCTGGGAAGGCAAATTTCTCCCAATTCTCAATCCAGGAGTTCCCTTGTCTTCTGGATTGGGTTCAAAATTACAAGGCTAAGGAGTTAAACATTAGTAGTTGTAAACCCATAAAATTGATCGGCTGTTCAACGGTGGTTATAAAATAGAAATTAAACATTTGGAAAGAAAATAATTTATTAAATTTCTTTTATGTTTTTAAACCTATGTTAATCATGGAAAAGAAAATTGAAATTGTAGTGAGAATCTAATATATTGCAGATCAGGATTTAAAAATTTTCAGGGACAGTGTAAAAAAAACAAAGGCAAAATGAAAGTTCTGGCGAATTCCTTATAGCGAATAGGGTTGCATTAAATTCTGGGAATTAAAGAATGACAGCTCTGATATAAATTTTAAGTTTAAATAAATGTTTTAGTTATGTATTTTATTCTTAGTTTTATTAATTTATAAATTGAATAAATATGCATTTATTTTTATTTATGAATTAATATAATTAATATTTATTTTATTATATGTATGAAAAATTATGCATGTCAAATTCTTTTAATATTTAAAAATATTTATATCTTTGTGATTGGTTAATTTATTAAAAATTGTGAAGTTATTTAGATAATTTTTTCGCATAATCTCAATTTCTTTTATTTCATAGTTTAGTATTAATTTAACTGGTACGATATATAAAAATATGGAATGTTGTGTGAAAATTGCTATTAATAAATAAACTTTTACATTATAAGTTAAAAATTTATTTAATTGATACAAATTGTCTTAAATAACACATATTGTAAAATTTGTTTTTTAAGTGAAAAAGAAACTAAATAGGAATGTTGAAATATATAATTTCTAAAATAAATAAAATATTGCATTTATTTTGAAATGGAGACAGAGGAAACCTAAATTAAAATTTTTTTAATCAAAACATTTTTTATTTTTTTATTAACTTGACGAGGAAAAATTTGTACAAGTAAATTGTTTATTTAAATTCGATTTTTGCTAGTTTGGTAAAAACCTATTTTTACCAGGTGGAAAAAACCACGGTTTTATCCATTTTTTTTTTCACTGATAGCAAAATATTTGCCAACCCTGTTCCAGACATAAGTGTGTAAATATGGCAACTGTAACGATAATAACTGTTGATTATATATTTATTTTTTATGTAACTTGAAATAATGCATTTTTATGGCTCTGTTATGTTTTGATTATTATGTTTTTTTAGTTTATACTTGCAACTTTAAATGCTTGATATTGATAATTAAGAAAATTTAGCTTACCAAATGAGTATTTATTTATAGGGTATGGGTATATATCTATTGCAAAATGCTAATAAAGTTATTATATGATAGGGAAAAAACTGAAAATGCTTCGTTAGAACAATCTAGGAAACAAAGTTTCACAAAATTGTACACGTTAATATAGTACAGCTTTTTATTTGCAGTTATAAGTTAATTTATTACCAAGTTGCTAATATATAAAAGCCTAATAAGATCAGTTCTCACTTAAGCATCTGAAACCTGGACCTTGTCCCAAGCTGATGAGAGGACCATCGCTGCTTTCGAGAGGAAGATACTCCGATCCATTTTTGGTGGTGTGTGTGACAAGGGAGTGTGGAGAAGGAGAACTAACTCTGAACTTGACAGGATATTCAGAGAACCGGACATTCTGAATTACCATAAGATCCAGCGCATGGAATGGGCCGGACACATTGTAAGAATGAACGATGACAGAACAACTAAAAGAATCTTTTTGGCAAGGCCAACTGGAGTCAGAAAAAGAGGCAGACCCCGAATGAGATGGGTAGATTGCCTCCAAAGGGACTTAACCACAATCAAGGTCAGAGACTGGAAAGCCATGGCACACAGAAGAAAGGACTGGTGCAGTCTTCTTGAGAAAGCCAGGGTCCACCCAGGACTGTCGCACTACTGATGATGATGATGAAGTTAATATATTACAGTTATAATTAATATTTGAAACCATTATAGAGTTAGCCAGTTTCTTGTTGCATACATTAAATATAAATATTTGTGTTAACTGCTATAAATTGATTGTATTTTATACGCTGAGTCTAAGCTATTAGACCTCATCTTGGCAGATGACCAACTGTTGTTCTTATTTCTTTTAATCAGAAAAATACTTCTAAAAGTTCTTAATAGCACATATTTATGTATTTTCATTTGTCCTTGACTAGAATAAAAAAATTATGTTCTAAAGGAATACTTTTCTTAAAAAAATATTTTTAAAAAGGGCATAGTCAAAGTATGTATACTAAAAAGGCAAGAACTGTATTTGAAATTAATTACTTTGTTTTAGGATTAGTGCTATTATTATTTATATATTTACAGTAATTTGCATGAAAAACATCAAATTGAATATCTTAATCTATTTGAAGGTGACCCCAGACGCCCTTATCCTACTGACATTGAAATGCGCCTTGGTTTTCTTGGACGACTCAGTGACTTGCCCATCAGTGGGAGTATGCTACAGCAACAACAAGGTGGTCTGGATATGGGAGTGAGAGGACCCCATGGAGGTAAGAATTCTCCATTATTCGTTAAATTTCTTTACATAGTAGTAGAATAATTATTATTTAAATTAAATCAAATTCTTTAGCATTCTAAGGCGAAAAAAAATAAAATAAATAAAAATTATGTTAACATGGCTCTGTAATAAAAGCTAGACAATGTACTATGTTATCAATTCGTGGGTTTGGGTCCCTTTGCCACCAGGCTAATCATGGGAGGTTTTCCTCTCCGTGTAAAAGTTCCATAAAAAATTCCTCCACGAAGGCAAATTTGCCCCCAAGGAGTTCTATTGTCTGCTGGATTGGGTTCAAAATTACAAGGCTACGGAGTTGAACATAAGTTGTCATATACCCAAAAAATAGGGTCGGCTATTCAATGATGGTTATAATATGTCACCAATTATGAAATTTGTAGAAAAAACAAGGACTAAGTTGGTTGATAGCTTGCAGATATAAAACTAAATTAAGAATAAGCATATAAAAGCACAAATTATGTAGTTAACAGTGTACTAATAGAAGTACTAAACAGAATACTGTAGTAAGTGCCATCTGTGCCAAAACATATTCCGAATGTTAGTACTATCTAGGGAGAATATGTGTTGGAAGGAAATTCGTCAAATCTATTGACATAATTCCTCTTAGTAGTTAGACAACTAAGAAGTATTTGATGAGTCGCAATGATTGCAAAGAGGATGGATCTGTATCATAGAGATCGACATCATCTTCATCAAAAAAATGCAAATTATCAAGGATCGTTAAATATTGTGATTAATCGTTCATAGTAAACAATATAATAAGGAAAAAAAATTATAATAGTAATTTTCAAGAGTTTTAATATATGAACTGAAAAAAGTAATTTTCATATTAACTTGTGTTTCTGTTGGCATATTGTGCAGGCAGACTATTTTTATTCGTTCTTGGGCCAAGTGTTATCTCAACTTTCATTTAAAGTTCTGAATTTTAGAGTTGTTTGCCAGAGTTGCGGTTTTCTATGATGTTATATTATTTTCAATAAAAGTTAACAGAATCTAGATCCACATCATCTCCATCAGAAAAAAAAATGGTAATTGTTGAGGCTCTTTAAATTTAAAATTTTACTTCTTCATAAACAATATAGTAAGCAAAAATTATAAATAAGATTTTTCAAAAAAAATTTAAGAATTAACAAAAAAGAATTTATGAAAGTTGTTAAAGCTGAGAATTTTTATTACTTTAATTGTTGTGCCGGGCCGGTATTAACATTATTTTGTCTGTGTTTAGATTGAAAGTAATTAATTTGAGAGTTGTTACTGCCAGATTTACATTTTTTAACAGTTTTGTATTATTTTTCATTAGAAGTTTATTGATTATTAAATATTTTTTCATACCACTTATTTCAAAATGAAGTCTAAAAAATTTCTTTGCTTTTTGTAACTCCACATTTCAAACAACATATTAACAAAAAATGCAAATAATTAAGTCTGAGCTATGTAACAGCACACGGAAAAAAAGCATTTCTTAAGCTAATTCAGCAGTTTCCAGTTCATTCTAAACCAGAAATTTAGCAATAAGAAAATTAAACTCTGTGTTTTCTTCAGCAAGAACAAACAGATTGAATTAATTTTTGACACTTGTATTCAGGCGGCAACTGTTTAATTTCGTTTGACATTGTTTAATTCATTTTTTTTTCATAGAATTATTGTGTTAGTTAATGCTGTTTTAATCACTTTCAATTATGTTTTGTGTTTAAACAAATTTATTTTACTTTATGAAATTTTTTATGATCAAATTATGTTTTAGCATTGAACTAATTGCTGTTGAATAAAAAAATTTTACTTTTAAGATTTTAGTTTGTGTTTTTTAATTTAAAATGTCATTTTGTAAATTTTTATATTGCTGTATTATTTTTACATATTTGTATACAAAGTATGTTTCCCAGAAAGCTATTAACAAAACGTCATAGGGTTTAATGTAACAACATCTGATATGAATTAGCTAAAAATTTATTTTCCCTTATCAACAAGATCCAAATTTAAAGTAATGGTCTGAAAATCTTTTTATTAAAACAATGTCACATTTACACTAGTAGATATTGAAAAATGTTTTCAAGAAATTTTGAAATTGTTTACTTGCCTCAAATCATAGGTTCCAAAATAGCCTCATATTGTGATTTGAGATTTTTTAAGTCTTTCAAAATAATTTTAATTATTAAAGAGTTTCAAAAGTTATCCTATAAATTACGGAGGAAAAAATTAAAAATGAATCACTCAAACAAATAGCATAAATTTAAATATGAATGAATTATAAGATCATCATGCTTATCAACTTTAAACTAGAGTCATTGTTTTTCACACAAAACTACTGTAAATTATTCTCTGTTATCAAAGTTAATTTTTAAATGGAATGTTTTAGTTGTCAGAAAATTTTTTATATCTTTAAAATTTCCATTTGATATGTTTTCAGCTTGAATAAGTAAGCCTGATGTTGATTCTTAATTTCATTACACAGACTTGGAATATGAATACTATTTAGTTTTTTTTCCCACTCTGGCTTAAAAAAAATATTAATTTAAATTTAATTATTTTTTTCTTTTATCAATACTTTTATTACTTTTAAGCTATTGTAGACACTTACTGAAAGTTTCACCTAACAATTATCAAAATTAAAGGCAGTGTGGCATTTTGAAAATGCTGTTCATATAACAATGAGATAGATTAAATAAAATTATTCTAGTGTTTTTTAAACATTTGAAAACGTACCCATGTTCTCTTGAATAGTTTTAATTATTATAATAACTTTTAATACTGACTTTATCAAATAACTATTTCATAATGTATTAACGTATTACTTATGTGAAATAATAGAATAATTTTATGTTTTGAACATTCTTTTAAATATTTAAATAATTTGGAACTACATTTAACTTACACTATATAACAATTTTTTTCTATGGTTGCAGTGCATCTGGTAATCACTAATTTGGTAAGAGTTGAAAAATAAAACATTAAAATTCTTAAGTATTAAAATAGTTTTGTCCTTAACAGGGTGCGTAGCCAAATTATTCAACAAAAAATAAGCACTTTTCAAACACTCAAAAATATTTTTAAGTACTTTAAAAAATATCATAATTAGGCAAGGTTAGAAATTTTTTTACAATTGACGGTTTTATCTTGTTTTAACCGTCATGTCGAAAAAGAAAAAACTTTTGGCACTGTTTTTGACAATTGTCAAAAATTATGAAATTTTGAATCAAGTAAAATGAATCGCGTTTTCATACGCTACGGACTGACAATTTGCCAAAGTAGATTGATTGGGTTTGAATTAATTGTGAAAACGTTGAATAAAACAATGTGAACTGTGTCTTTTTGCATAATTCGTAGCGAAAATCAACATGGTAAAGGAAAAATCTCATTTTGAAAAAATGAAAATTAAGCACTTTCTAAAAACACTTGATGAAAGAAGCACCTTTAAGGGCTTTTAAAAAGCGAAAATCGAAAATAAGCACTTTTAAAAAACGCTACGCACGCTGCTTAACTTACCACATGACCATTGTGCAACTTATATTTGAATATTGAGATTGGCTAAAAAATTTATATGAGTTGTATCATTGCAGAGCAAAATCCAGGATCTCAAGCTGGAACATTCACATGGTCTGCCAGCACAGATCTAAAAAATTCCATGAGCTCCTCTAGTGCTCATGGAGTCAGCATGGACACTAAATCTCATAACAAAGAGAATGAAGACGTCGAAGTAATGTCTACAGACTCTTCAAGTAGCTCATCTAGTGACAGTCAGTAGATGTCTACAGACTCACGTTCATTTAGTGACAGTCAGTAGCTACTGACTTCACTTTCATCTGTATATATGTATATTTTTCTTTTAAAATAAACTCTTTGGGTAATAAAAATTTGTATGATTTCTTTAAATTAAGAAAATCTCCCTATAGTATAATTTGTCTACATTTTAGTGCTGTAATACACCTTAACTCATTCTACTTGTCATTCAACTTTTTATTATTATCCTTGTAAAAAGTTATGTAAAAATAACAATGCAGGGACCATCAATTTATGAAAAATAGCAAAATATTACCTAATTTTGACAAATAAATTAGAAAAGGTATGAAAAACTAACTCATTTCATGAGGAAACTTTAAAGAGGTTCCAAGCAGAAGTAAGTATAACCTTCTATTCTCATATGACAACTGGACTTAAAAACTGGTTATGATTGTTCTTGTTGAACAAACTGGTTTTTGACGATTTTTATCATTGCTTTGCTTTTCTAAACCTCATACATTTATTTATTTTAGATAAATATCTTCATTTTTGTGTAATTACGCTTGAGAGTATTCAACTGCACCCAAATCTGTTTTATCTATTTGAACAATATTCAAAACCATAAGTTTTAAAAAATATGAAAACCAACAAATGCGTAGTATCAAATTACCGATTTTAATTGACAATCCAAGTAATTTCATTGCTTTACGTGTATGAATATTAAAAAAAAATTTTATAAGTTACCAAGCATTTTTAATTTAAGAAGTTGAGAATTGTATCAGTCATCGGTGACTGGCATTGAATCTTCTTTTTAGACAGCATCTATCATAGGTGATTTAAAATATGATATAAAACTAAAAAATTTAAACTGCTTTAAGTAATTACTGAAAATTTATTAAATTTTATTTATCACAAATCAAGTTTTTATTAATTTCAATTCTGTAATAGTAATCAATGTGCATGGCTTGACAGGTATTTCCTTAATAATATGTATTTTCTATCTTTTCTTAAGGCATTGTGCAATCGATTGATTCTATCCTTAAATCATTGTAAAGAACAAATAGGCATTAAGAAAATCCAAAATACAATATGATAAAGGCAGAGGCCTTTTGCTAATTCTGTTTTAATGGGAAAAATTAAATCAAAATGATACACACAAAGAAACTGAAACAAATTTTAAAAAGCTTTTATTTTTTTCACTACTGATAATTTGATCGATATCTTTAAAGATAACCATAATACATAATTGTAAAAATATTTGAAGAAAATGACTTTTTTTTAAAAAATAAAAATCTCATTAAACATTGATTGTATAATTTTGTTAATAAATTCTAATATACGTGATTGTTTCTTTCGATTGAAGTTATCGTCAAGCATAACATTGGAAATCATAGCAAAAATCATTATATAAATGTTAAAAAGTGCAAAAAACAACACATTATAATATCCTTTTTCCATCAAAAATTCAAAAGCATAACAATTGCACAGATATAAAGAATATTCATATATTATTATACTTACAACATACACATAGCAAAATAGAAATTTAAGAGCGTCACACATATATATTACTTTCAATAGACACGATGTCTTTCATAAATTTCTATATAATATTACCCTTGATTTACAATGACTTGAAGTTCAAAACACAAAGCAGTCACACATTTTAACAATGCCCAATAATTTATCTGTGCTATATAACAAATGCAATAGATTTGTTTATTACAAAGATTCTTTCTCTACTACCAGGCAAATTATGTTAAGCAATTCAGTTTGCCCCAGCCTACAAGTAAAAATACATATTTCATAAACCAACATACTGGCAAATCATTAAAAAAAGTTTTTGATTATACAAATAGTTCAATGTGAAAAATGTCCACACATAACACAATTATTCGACAGTTAAGGAATAGGAATAATATATTACAACAATTAAAATAAAGCAAGCAGCTTAGAAAGTAATAATAGTAAGATAAAAGTATAAATCATAATTGGTAACTAAATATATTTTTAGAGAAAGAATATAAAAAAAAGAAATTTCTGATCAACAAATATTATATAAACATTTTTATAAATAAAATTTACATAAAAAAAACCTCGACGGTTATTTTAAAATCTCTAAAAGAATATATAATCTTATATTGCAAATAAGTCATCAACATAAATATATAAAAAGCCAATAATATTTTATGAAGATTCTTGTCAAATAAATATACTCATAAATAAAGGAAGCTTAAAAACAAAATGCATTGTTTTTAGACATATTTTTTGATTTAGAAAAAAATAAACAACAAAAAACAAACACACACAAAGAACTTTATCTCTGGAGATAAACGCTAAGTTTTAATCTTAATTATAAAAAAGTTTCACTATACTCAAGTGATGATGAATAAATTGGAACAAGTTTTAAACAAAATGCTTCTACCAAAAAATAATATGTGAACTATCTGAACTGCAAGAAGAGAGTTGGTATATTATTTTTAAAGGGAAAAACTAAAAATTCAGATACATTTAAGTTCTAGTGTTAATTTTAGACAAAAAAAACAACTTATAAACTGCCAAAAAAATTTTTTTAGTGGGACCTGCATTGCAGAAGAAGGCCAGAGGTAACAAAACAAAAACCCTACTGTTTTCATTCAGCAACTTGAGGTTTCAAAATTAACATTCAAATGAACCATCAATTAACATTCAAATGTTTGCATCCAGTGGCTTTATGAATCAAAATTAGTGTTTTAATGTTATGTTTTTATCCACAGGCTTGATGAATAAAAATTAACATTCTAGTGTTATGTTTTCATTAAAAGCCTTAACCTATCAAAAATAATACCTTCATGTAACATTTTAGTCCAAAAACATAAAACTGTGTCTGGGTTTTAATATGCTGCGTAAATCTGGAACCCAAAGTAAATAGAAACTCATTTTAATTAAAACAAAATTTCAATCAATTTTTCGACACCATTTCAGTTTTAATAATTTAAAGGAATAAGATTTAAGTAAAAATGATACAATTAACATCTTATGTAAGCCAGGATGTCTAATCATAAACTTATGAAGTAGTCGAAAAGTAAATGTGTTACAATAAAACGCACTTACAGATTAGTGCCTCATTTCATTAAAAAAAAAATAATAATTCTAATACGTAGAAGAGAAACTCTAATACATGGAAGAGATATAAAAAAATTTAACTGTTTAAAATATATCTGGTGTTCTGGTTTTGCTTTTTAAAAAATTTTTTTAAGTGTGCAATTCAAAACCAAAAAATGAAGTTAATTGATATGTCATATAGTTCAAGAATATAAAAACTGAAATATCTTTAAAAAAGCCAAGTCTAGTTTCAGATCAAGTGTTTGTTTAGCTAATATCTAAAATGTACTCTGACATCAATACCAACAAATTTTATACACAATCAATGCTGATATAACAATAAATATATTATTAACACGGAAGATAATAAAATTGTCATATAGCACCATGAGTTTATTACAGTTGGGGTAAGATAGCTTAATAATAGCAATGAAATAAAATAACATTAATCCAGGTGGAAAAAAACAAATAATAAAGTCAAGCTTTGGGCCATCCTAAAAATATTAATGAAGTATATTTTTTATCACATATATATAAAAACATGGAACATGATTAAGTCTGTACTGAAACATCATTTAATAAGATTCAAAAATACAGTAGGAAACAACTCGTATAAATATTCTCAGATTCTAAAAGAGATAGCTCAGATACTTGCATGAATTTTGAGGAAAGAAAGTATCATTATGCATATTTATGATTTATTTTAGTTTTTATTTGGAAAAAGCATTACTTATAAATTAGGTTTTAATATATTGAGACTGAATATAGATCTGAATAAAATAAGACTAAATAATAGATCTTTGAAGTTAAACATAAGGACATGCATTTCTTTAAATAAAAAAAATTGGGTGATCAGATTCTTTAAATAAGTTGCATTAGTTCAGAAACCAGATTCTCATGATTGGTTATATAAATTTTAAATAAGATAAATTGGTTAACAAATTACCAATAAAATAACTTGGAAGACTTACAAATAAAGTTACATTTGATGTAACAATGCATATTACAAATCATAATATGAAAATTTAAATTAGAAGTAAATTTAATTCAAGATACATTTAAAAAATAAACTCAATTAATATATGAATATAATTAAATATTAAAATTTTAAATCTTAATTTATTCTTAAAATATATATTAAAGCATTTCCAACAAAAGCTATTGAGATTATATTTATACCAATACTATCAAATTTGATGTACTAAAATGTTCTCTTTAACGGGGTGGCCACAGAAAAGCCAGGTAATTTTAATGTCTGAAAAATCATTGATTTAATTAAAACACAAAAAAAAATCTAGGGAAATGAATTAATCAGAATCTGACGTACCTAAAAGTCTAGAGACTAGACTTTTCTCAAAAGACTTTGTCTAGTGATATTTTTTTAAACTTTTTTTTTTAAAAAAACTCTTAAACGTTTTGTAATGCATTAAAAATAAGGCATAACTAAAAAATTAATAATGAAGTTACAAAAATCATGGAAAATAGATAAAACCAATCTGGAAAAAATAAGGGTTTTTTTTTTCTGTGTGTTAATGTTAACCCTGTTTTACCAGAACACTTAGTTTTACTTCATCAGTAACATATACTTTCTTGTCCTACTACTAAGCCCTCTAAGGAAACTTTCCTTATTCTTTCCTTATTCCTTGAAACATCAATCAGCATACTAAAAAATGATATTCTTAATATATATCTGTTTCAACGAAATTTCTCCAATTTGGTTTACTGTTACATTCACTTATAAATAGCATAAGTTAAGATGAAAAAGTCAAAACACATATTAGAGAAACAAATTTATTAATGATTAAACTATTAGTTCGTTATTCTTCTTTATTTTTTAATCCAACTTACATCAATAAATAACTTAAATAAATAAAAGTCTCATAATTGAATTAATGTTTTCGATTCTAAAAATCAGCTAGAAATAACTTAGTTTTTTATTTTACATATGACACATTATAACAGAAAAATAAAATCATGCAATAAATTTGATGAAATCTTTCTCAAATTCATATACAGATTTAGACTTTTGCAATTGAATGCAGACCATTTGTCGAGAGACGAGAATTGTGCTTCCTTCTGTCAAAAGGATATTTCATGCCAAAGTACATGCTGCAGTGCAGTCAATCTCAACAGAAAGTTTAATACTTTTGTGCTCCAGAAAATCTAGTGAAAAGGACAACCCAAATCTCTGCACACTTTCATATTTATTTTTTGCTCAATTGCCATACCATGGACGGAAATTCAATAATCATACTAAACTGCTCATTTCTAACATATCCAAAACATGGAGTTGCAAAGTTACTGCCTGGAAAAGGCACAGTTACTAAAACTAAATCAATAGATCAACAATTTTACTTTATCTAAAATTATACAAAACAATGAATTAGTATGTTTTATTAACATAAAAAATAATTAATTATCATTAATAACATATTTTATTTTATTTGAATAAATACCAAATCCAATATTGAGTTGGGATATGAAGGAAGTCTGTAATCATAAGTACATTTATTAATGTATTACAGTCTATGCTCTTTAGTACGACCCTCCATTACCGCAGTACTTTCTGTTATAACCACTGACACATGAAGTTTTGTTATCTATTCCAAGCATGCAAATGTTATCTTAGCCCTCACACACATTAAACCATTCAATACAATACAGTGGCAAAAATTAAGTTATACTTCAATTTATTCAAATGAAAATCACTTAAAAAACTTGTGTCCAACATTTTTTTATGTAATTAATAACTAATATCATCTTTCTTAATATGACCATCATTTGAAAGTTATAAATTGAAATAACTGCAAATTTTTGCTCCTGAAGCTATGTGTCTAATTCATCGTCTAGTATGCATTTAAATAAATTTAGATTGAACATATAAAAGCATTCTGTCTTCCACTTATATTATTCACCAAATAATAACTTTAGTAGAGTCTTTATGTATTTATTTTGTGAATATTTTTAAAATGATTAATGAGTCACTTTAAGAAGTATTATCGGTTAACATTTTTGATAATTTGAGACAGCTGGATTCTACTTTTATGCATTTAAAATTTTAAGAAATCTGCCAGAATAATTATTCAAGTTTGAAACCAGAATTTTAATGAATGTGCCAAGTAAAAATTTGAGAAGTTTTCATTAAGAGTTATTAGCCGAGTTAAAATTACACTAAACAGCTTAAATAAATTAGTATAATTACATTAATATCAAAAGTTTTTAAATGTGAATCTTAAAAACAATTAAAAAGCATATTAAACGATTGTGTGAATTTTAAAATTCCTACTGCTACTAAGAAATAAATGATAATTTTAATTCTTAGTTCTTAATTTTTGAAAGAGAGTTTGATAATTACATTTAAATTTTCCAGAAAAGTGACATTACTCACAATTATTATTTCCTTATAACCATCAACACAGTTTTTAAATACACATTATACAAAAAAGTAATAAGAGTGCTATATGATATTTGTTCAAAACACAATGCATTGCCAAAGGTTTTTGATCTGATAGCTGACAACAAGAAATCTACAGGTTTTGCAAAAATAACATAATCGAATATAAAAGTATTACTACACAAATTACTATATATATTCACAGACATAAGCTTTTAAAGCACACTTATTATATATTTTCACCATTATTTTCAGATAAAAAGACTTTGTAGTATGAAATACCCTAAGCTCATAGATATGCCCAACACAAAAGGCATTACATTTCAACCTCCTAAATGTTAAAACTTACGAAAATTTTAAGAAAAAAATTCTTTCACATTTACATGACACACATCATGTTAGAATGAGGCAGAAAACTTACGCTGAATAATTCAGTCACACCAAGAAAATAAGTTGGTGCATATTGAAATATTTTGTTTTGATAAATAAAAACATTTAGTTCATGACACTTAGAAAAAGATTATAATTAAAGACAAAGAAATACAAATAAATATTTTCAAATAGTAAGTGCTGTTTTGTTATACTCTTTTTTTTTTTAATTCTTTTGATTGGTTCAATTTTTTCTTTACTTCAAAAACTTTTTTTAGATATGATTTAGTTATTTCAGTATGAAAGCAAAATTTAAAGCAAACTTACTTTTTAAAATTGGTCACTAAGCCTTCATTAAAAAAAAAAAAAGAATGAAAATGTATTACATGATCACCACTATCAGATAATCAGTCATAAAGATGATTATTAAACTTGCTGATTGATTATTAAATTGTATTTTAGCAATGACTTGAAATAATAGCAAAAGAGCATTTAAACTTTTCTTCAAAAATAAAATCAGGATTTAGAAGAGCTTTAATATAACTAAACTAAAGGTTAAAATAATTTTTTTTTTTACATATACAAATAAATAAAGAATATAAAAAGTCTAACAATTAAATTAATGGACATGAAACATTGGTCCGCCTAAATTAATAGAAACCCATCAAGTTAGAAAAACTATAAATTTTAAATAAAACAGCACTTACCACACAATCATAAACATAGTTAAATACACAAAATTTCACAACAGCTCATAAAACAGACAACTTAGAATCAAAGCTAACAATAAAAAAATGCAGATATCGCGAGCATTACACAATAAAATATATATATATAAAAATATTTTTGTAAACCAATTTACATGACTAATAACATTTAAATAACAAAACAATAATTTTCATTGTGATAAGTTACAGAAGGAAAGAAAAAGAGAAAATAGTTTTAAATAGCAGTAGAAGAAGAAGGAGCTTATATATCTCAAAAAACAGGCTAGATATTCTCAAACATTTAATAAAAAAACCCAAAAAATATCCAGTATTGCCATCACTTAAGCGTTAAAGCACCAGGAATGAGCAATTGTGTTACAGTGTAATGTAAATAATAATGACAAAATTATGTTTGTGTAGTGAAGCAAAATATGTGTTCCAGCAACATGGCAAATAAAAAGGAAGATAAGACAAAGGCAAAAACTAAAGCCATTGACAGATGCCTATCGTTCATTGTCCTCCTCTCACTTTGAGAGATTGTTTGGGGTAATGCCATAGAAGTGTGAGGGGCAGTGTCTATGCTTGAGGTTGTAAAGGGTGTAGGGGGGCTGAGATTTCCTATTAAGTCCCCATCCTCGCAGGGGCGTACAGCAGCTATCCGCAGGGTGTACTGAGTATTGGGTTCTAGGTTACTTACAAAGCATTTTGTGTCAGATCCTTGGTACACCTAAAAAGAAAAAAAAATTAAAACAATAAATAATGAATGAAACACATCATAACAGTCAGAGTGACAAAAAATAAGCACCTTTTAAGTACTTTTTTATGCACTCAAAAAATATTTTTAATCAGTTTCCAAAAAAAAAAAAAAATGGTTTTGTGCAGTAATTAATATTTTTTTTCTCAAGGTGAGTCACCAAATCTTTCAACAAAAAATAAGCACTTTTTAAGCACTCAAAAAATATTTTTAAGCACTATATACTTTAACAAAATGCAAATTAATTTTCAAAGACTGCATGATTCTGATAAAATAACTAGTTTCTGACAAAGAACTCTTTTCTTGATTATATCAGACACTGTAAAAAGAAAGAGATTTTTCGGTTCGATATTAGAAGGGGGAAATGAAATCTGAAAATTGAGAATATCTTGAAAAATACAGCAGAGTTGCAGAAAAATTAAGCACTTTTTAATAACACACCATGAAAAAGCACTTTTTAAAAATGTCACACGTTATGTTCCTATCATTTAAAGTTCTTAATTTATGAACATAAAATCAATAAAATTCAAAAACTTTACACAATCATGATAAAATAACTAGTTTACGATAAATGTTGCAGAGAAAATTCTGAAAAATCATGCATTTTTTGTAATTTAGAACGACTATCGACAAGGCAAAGAAAAAATCCATTTTTAAAAGATAGAAAATTAAGCACTTTTTATAAATCCCAATTTTTTAAAAAAAAAAAAAAAACACATTTAAGGGCTTTTAAAATGTATAATTCAAAAATAAGCGCTTTTTAAAATGCTTGCCACCCTGATAGTATATATAAGGGAAAATTTAACTACCAAATAGGACAGGATTGGATTGAATGTATAGTTTGTCTATGATAAGAACTTCCCCCCACCACAAAGTGTTGTACCGTCTGCTGCAATGCAAACAAGAATTGCGCTTTTCAGGGAGGACAGCTTTTCTTCACCCTAGGGCCAACACAATAAACCAAAGGAAAATATTCCCTTTTTCCACTGACCCAATCCAAAACCTGTCCTAAACAGTGACCCCATACCCCTACTTGAAATAGTTATACCTCATTACCATAGTCACCGCCATGGACCCAGACAAACGGCTAGGGGAGTTCTTACTTTAGACAAACTATAGAATTTAATAACAGAAGAGTTGGGTGTAGTTATAATAACAATTATGCAATGTTACATTAATTAGTTCAAATTCGATTAAGACGCAACATTAACATGATTTTTTTTTGTTATTTAATATTTTCTCTCATAGAGGGTGCTTGTGATACTCATAAATAATGAAGATTCATTCATCTGACATGGATTAAAGAAATACGAATTCCCATGTGAACAATTATTCCTGAGAATATTGTATTTAACAGTTGTGTAACTAAACGGAAGATAAATTTCATTGAATGTAGAATTTAATAGCTCAAAGTTGGGCGTAGTAACATTTATTTAATCTAAATGTAAAATGGATTGAATGCAGAATTAATTTAATAAAGCAAAAGTGGAAAATAGCTCGGTTGCACTAAACTGAAGTGTAAACGGGATTGAATGTAAAATTTATTGCCACAAGATGTAGCTGAACTACAAGAAATGGGAGTAGTTTCATACAAAAAGCAAAATTGTTATCTTATGCAAACAATAAAACAACTTTGCAATCAATAATCACGCAAACAATAAAACAAAAAGAATAAAGATACTTTAAATGAACCAGAAAAGTTTGAAGATATGCTTAACTCACATAAACAATTGAAGATTATACAAACTGATACAATTTGAAACCTGAGACATTTCGAATTTTAATCTGAATTTAATGATTTTTATAAATATCATAAATATAAGAAAAAATTTTGTAATTTTCTTACAGAACCACAAATTCAAAAAAAAAAATTATATTTCAAAACATAGTTTTTGAAGTTTGATTGTATATCTTTTATTTATAAAAAAAAATTATCACTCACCATTATACTATCAGAAGAGGAAGCTGAAGATAATTGTAACTGATAATGTAGCACACCTTGTGATATTTTCACACCTGTCCATTCTACTTGGCAGTTATCTTCTGTTACACTTATTATTTTTGGTGCTGCAATGAATAAAATATTTGTAAGTCATTGACCAATTAAATTAAATTATGAATTAAAGGATTTTTTCCTCACTTACAAATCCAACATAATACTTAACAATGATTTCAGTTTTATGATGATAAAAGAGGCTTTTGCATCAAAATTTAAAAGCATTTTCAGGGTGTGTAACCAGATTTTTCAACAACAAATAAGCACCTTTTGAAAAAAAGTAAAAGAGAAGATTACGTAACAAACGTCCAACGTCTCTTGTTTTCTTCTTTTTTTCAATCTGCGCATTTTAATTGAGGGCGTTGTTTTCTTTTGTTTTAAGTGTTTCCTTTGCATTTAGTTTGCTTGTGAAATCGCTGTTTGACCGGTTTTATGTGAGTTTTTATTTTCTCAAGTTTTTGTTTGAATTTCTTTTCTGAATTGGTTTTATGTATTTCATATATTTTTTTCTGGACTTATACAAAACCTTCAGGGTACTGAGAGAGTTACTTTTGGCATTTAAATTTGCCTCTCTCTCAATAGAAAAGGTTTTGTTTTATGGCTTCCGAGGTCGGTACCCCCTGAAGACGTCGGCTTCGGTGGTCATATTTTTTATTTCCTTCGTTTTTTTCTATTGCTATATTTATTCTTTCTTTTGAAAATTCTGATGCTTTTAAGCGCGTTTCTTTCAAAGAATTTTTGTTAATTTAGAATTAAATATTTTGTATTCTTTTACTAGTGACAACACTAACTTAGACAGAGACCTAACAAAAACGTGTCAATGTGAAATTAGAAAGGAAAGACCATTTTACAGTCACTGACCTTTAAGCAAAGGTGGTGGTGCCCTGGTTGTACGAAATGTAAACACAGAAGAGTAAGGACCTTGACCAGATTCATTTGAGGCACAAATACGGAATAAAAGAGAGGTATTTTCCTGAAGCCTGTTCACTTTACACCCTAAACTAGTTCCATGGTAGACTGGTACAAAGCTAAAAGGAAGAAAAAAAATAATAGTCTTAGGTTGCATATTGTGTATAAAAGTATTATTTTCATCATCAACAATCAAACATTATTTTCATCATCATTTGAAGCATATAACACTAAAGAAAGCAAAAAATTTTACATTTTGATGATTGTATAAATTTTTTGCTACCAATTTTTATTTTTAAAAAAACAATCAATACAGACAATAAAAAAAGAACTAAAAAATTCAAGAACATAGTAGAAATGAAACAAGAATATTTAACCATAATATAATTAGAAATATAAACGATTCAGAGAAGCATTGATGTATTTAGAATTCTAAACTATAAAAAAAAAAACTAATATCTAAATTAGGAAAATGTTTAAATAAGGAATATTCAGACAACCAAATGAATAATAATTATTCACCACTTGCTGCTAAAACATTGTGTTATTACTACATTCATTTATTTATTTTTTACCTTAAAGTAAACAATTCTCTTCATAATTTAGAAGATTATTTCCTCAAGAGAATATCTAGGTTAGAATTTGCTAAATTGCTGAAATCACTACAGTGTTAAATTAAAAAAATCAAACAAACATATTTTATGTAAAATAATATCAATGAATCAAAAAAATTTTGAAAATTTATAATTCTTGAAGTAGATTTATTTCTAAAAATAAGTACATGCCAAGTTTACATTATATATCTAATTTTCTCACTTCAAGAGAGCCTAATCAGCAACTTCTAAATAACATACCTAAACTTTATCATATGGTCAACTTGGTCAATTTTGGCCTCTTTCTAAAAAATAGTTTAAGAAAAAAAAATTAACAGTTACTTATAGCTTTTTGAGAACTCAGCTAAAAATCAAGGCTATTGGTTGTAATCTTGCCGATATTGAAACAGAAGTGTTTCCATTTAATGATAGTTTATCAATGTGAAAATAATTCGTTTGTAAAATGACTGTTAAAATGCAATTTAAGTAACTCGGAATTTTATGATCTATAAAGTCGATAATAATATTTTCATTATATTTCTGTCACATATAATAACCATTAAAATGAAATGAATTTGCAATTTTTATCCCTTAAATTTCATGTAACTTATGTGTTTGTTAATGCTATCACATAATGGCAGAAAAAATAGTATTGCCCCAAAAAGTCCTACCCCACTTTGTATGAAAGCTTTTAAGCATCCAAATATGTTGGGTTTTTTTTCCATGTTACTTTTACTGGGTACAAATGTGTATTTGTACTGTGGTTAGTACACCTTAGCTTAACTCCTTATCTTATATTAAACTGTGATGTACCTACATAAATGATTGGCAATATTAATGGGCAATATTTGTGTCCAAATGTTATTTCAATATACAAGTTACACTTTGTGATTGGCTGAACTAAAAGATAAAATTTACAGAAAAGAGGCTTAACAAAAGTCCATCATAGATTTAACATATATATTTTAATTCAGCAGAATCTCAAACATTTATTTAAAGTGTCTATTAGAGGCAAAATTAACACTAAATATCCAGATATTTTGGGAAACTATCCCAGCTTTAAAAACTACAATTTTTCAGATTTGGTCATTTTATTATTATATGACAAATAAATATTAAAGTTTTTGTTAAAATATTAATTTTTTTGGAAAAATTTATTTATGATAGAAAATAATAAATAAAGAGGAACCAAAAATAAAGATATATAGTTATATTTGAAGAGCTAAATGAATAGAAGGATGCTACAGAGAGAGAAAAGCAAGATTGGCACTTCTCATTTAATTTAACGAATGTAGAAACATCCATAAAACAAACATGAAATTCGAGGAAGAAAGAATAATTAAATGTAATAATAAAATAAAGATGTAATAACAAAATAAAGATTTATAAAAAATTTAAAAATTTTTTTTTTTAAATAAAACAGGCAATAATAGAAAAAATAAATAAAGTATTCACAAATTGGTTTTGCTTATTTTACTCCCATATAAAAACAAATGTCTAAGATTTTGACTTAAGAACCTGGGTAATTTTGGCTACCTTGTTTTTTTCCCTATGTTGAATAAGAAACCAATAAAAATAAATTTAAACACCAAATACAAATTCCTTAAGCCCAGAACTAAATCTAGAAAAAATTTCTTCTACCTAATTTACAGATGTTAATTCATTATAAAAATATCAGCTTAACATATATCAGCAAATTTCAAATTGTTACCTCTTAGATCTGTTAGACATTTCTACTGTGTAATACAAGGAGTCTTCCTCTTCTCGACGATCCCCCCATTTCAGCCTCAAGAAATTATGGCTGACAGTCACACACTCAAGATGTGGAGGGGAAGGTGGAGATTTCATAGTTTCAACAGATATTGGATCACTAAATGGACCAACACCCACTTCATTCACTGCTTGGATGCGTAGGCTGCAAAGGATAACCAACATTAAAAACAATTCATACATTGATAAAAAGAAAAATAGGAACACAAAGCATGATAAGTCAACCTGAGGTAATTGTGACCCAAAATGAAAATTTTATGTGCAAAAAATCGATATCAAGATATTAATTTATAAACTATATATGTTTCATATTTAAACCAACATACTTAATTAATTTACTTACTAACAAAGAATATCACACCTTTATATTAACTAATTAAAAAAAAACTTACTTTTTACAAGATTAGCGATATTGGATTATAAGATCACATGAATATAATTGAGACATCGGATTTTAAGATGGCATGAATATAAATCACAATATTGAATTTTTAAATCACAAAAATACAAATCACGATGCATTAGCTTCAGATCGCATGATTACAAATCACAATGAGTAGTTTTTAAATCACATATAAACATTAATACGAAAATCGATATTTGATATTACAACCTCTTGAATACGAATCGCAATAGTGGATTTCAAAAACGCGTGAATACGAGCGCGACATTGGTCTTTAAACTTAAAGTGAATAAACTTAAGTTTTGAATCACAACATTGGGTCTTACAAACTGCTATAGTTGATTTTTAAATTGCTTGAATATAAGTAGACATAAAAATTTTTTAAATCACAAGAATATGAATCGTAACACGTAACTTAAATCAGGTGAATATGGAAATAGATTATTCATATTAAAATCACATGAATAAGAATCTCGATATCAGCAGATTCCAGCACAGTTCCAAATATTCAAAATGAAGAAAACTGTCCAAACAGAATCAAATTGGCAGAAGAATCATATGTATATGAACATCTCTTTTAACAGGATTTAGCATAAGTTTCAAAATTTCCTCCAATCATAAGTTTTTGAATCGTGAAAGTTTGTGAAACAATGGTTTTGAGATATGTGTAATACTGTGATATTTGTGAAAAAATCACATACCCTGCTTTTAGTTTTCAGAGCCCTCCTAGATTGAAAGAAAATGAGTCTAAGGAGTGAAAAAGTGCTAGAATACCGAAAAATAAGAACATTTTGGCCAAAAATAGTGCTTTCCGAACTATGTATATGCATTGTACTTTTCACTAATAGCAAAATTTCAGTACATAACAACTAACATATTTCAATACACATAACTTGATTGCGATAAGCGTTAACATTAGACAAAAAGAAAGGCTAAAAAACGGCATTATAGTATTTAAACAGAATTTTATTTTACAGCATAAAAAAATTTATTTAGGTCAGTAAGTTGCATATTCCCTTTAACTGTAACTGCGACCATTTTAAATCAGTGTAACAGGATTACTACATGACACTTTTCTAAAAAGCAATTATTTGAAAGAGCACATTTTTTTTTTCTAACGCGACAACCTTTGATTGTAAATAATCTGTTACTTATTGTGACACTGGCGATAACTGTCATTTGTAAACATTATAAATATTTTTCTAAAAAGACTAATTCTACTTATTATTTAAAGCATATTATTGCATAAGCAGACTGTCTCTTATATGACATTTTAATAATATATAATAAGTCATATACACAGCAAATTTTGATTTGAGATGAGAAGCACTATGTTTGAGCTGGACATTTTTTAAATATAAAATTCAATTTATCAGCTGCTAAAAAAATAGTTGATGTTTTAAATTAGCACATTTTTAATGATTCTTTTTTCATAAAAAAATCTGATCCAAAGAGCTTTTTTTTTTACTGCTGTTATAAATTTATTATATTTCATACATAAAGTGAAATTCACTGTTAGAAATTCAGACTAACTATATAGTGTGCTTCTAATACTTAGAAGTAAAAAAAAAAACTTTGAACACCATCCAAGAAAAAGAGCTAATCAAAAAGTTTTAAAGATACAAAAAGAACAAAATTACCTGTACACTGTTTCTGGAGACAAATCTTCTATACACAATTCAGGAATATTTTCTTCCGTATTATACAGTACATCATCAAGTTCTACATTGTAACTAATTATTTCGGAACCATTTGTGGGTGGCTCAGTCCAAGATAAATATATAGAATTTGATAAGGTTTTTACATTAACACTAGATATCACACCAGGTAGGGAAGCAGGTGTTCTGTACATGATTGTATCACTATTAGGTCCTGGTCCGGCTTCATTAATTGCCTGAAAAGAATACAAATTTATGTAAGCTGAAATCACAGAAAGATAATGTTAAACAATTGGATCATTTCCAAAGCAATGTTAATAAAGGTTATACTAAAGTTTAAGCCAATGTTTCAATTATGTATTGAAATTAAGAATTTTAACACAATATACAAATAATTTACAACAGAAATACAACTTACTCGAACTTTGAAATAATATGAAGTTGCAGGAAGCAGCCTTTGAACTTCATAATGCAGACAAAGACCATCATAAAGCTTTAAAAAAAAAATTATGTTCAAAATTAGATATTAACCAGTTTTTCCTTTATTAAAGCAAAAAATGTGTATTTGATTATGAAAGCAAAATTGTTATAAAATTAATATCTATAATCAATTTAAATAAACAGGAGCCATTCAGATGTACTCCAATTTCAGGACACATTGACAAAATAACAAGTAGTGACAATAACAAAATCCGATAACATTAAGCAGCATTCATAGAGATTTTACCACTTATGACGAAAAAATTGGACTAATTTAGTCACATCTGTACAAGCTATTGTTTTTAATTTTTAAAGGGAACTATCCTAAAATTTCGAAACAGGTATGGTGTCTGAATTAAAGGGGATTAGACCAACTGAACTCTTATTCACACCACTATCACTTAACAACAATTTGTAAAGAAAAACTTGTCAAAACCTAAACTTTATTAAAGTTCAAATATTCAAAGCCAATTTAACTTTTGTACTAGAAATAATTTCATACAATCTATATGAGATTTATAATGCTGACTTACATAATTCATTAAAAAAAAACTCATAATAAATGTATATTATTGAGTGTTGTAAGAAATTGAACAATCTGAGTTAAACCTAGCAGATTGAAAATTATGTCTAATTGGTTATACTGAAAATCCTTACACACATTGTGAATTATTACTAACATCAATATAAATTTCAATCAAATAGTTATGTAAAATGCCCCTGGGCATCTTTTAAATAATTCTGTATGTAAATCAAGCAATAGTTAATACAATGTATTCATAATTTAAGTTCAACTTTGAGATTTGTATATGTGAAATTAAATGTTACCAACTGTAGAAATTTTATAAAAAATTTGATAAAATTTCATTTTCTGCAAAAAAGAAGAAAATAATAATAATAATTCTATTCATTACAAACTACAATTCCAATTCATTTGCAATAGCTTAAAATCTTTCCTCTGTTTAATGCACCCATTTCCATTTCAAGGTTCTAATAGAATGATTATAAAACTAATATTCTTGGTCTTAAATACAGCATAGAATCCCATTTTCTTCTCACAGAGTCATTTATTTCCTTTAAAAATATAGAATTCTATAATCATGCAGATTGATAACTTTTAGTTAGTCATTTTCAATTAAAAGACATCTCAAAATAAGAATCAAATTAAAGCACACTAATTAAGTTATTTGGTTAATTAAACTAAAAACCACATAAAATAAAGGTGATGCCAACTAAAAATAAAGTAAGATCATGAGAAAAATAGATATCCACAAGAAAAATAGAGCTGTAAGCTGACCTCTGAAAAACTCTCCTCATCATCTTCTGTACTCCATTGGAGTTGATAACTAGTAATGGCAGCACCATTATTCAGTGGTTCCTCCCAGGACAGTCGACAGGTGACAGAAGAATCACAGGTTGCAGTTAGATTGCGGGGAGAATCGGGTGGCCCAGCCCCACTCACCACTTCCAAGGGATCCGAAAATGGCCCAGCCTAGGTAAGTCAAAACACATGAATATATTTTTAAGGCAAAAATATTTGTTATGGAGTAAAACATTCTATTCTTTTTAAAAGTTTAGTTAGGCAAAAAAAATAACCAGAATTTTAGCCAATAGGGGCCAAAAAAACTGTGATTGTTGTATGAGCTAACAAACTGAAGCAACCTGCCTAGTCTATATATTTTTCAAATTTTAAAGTTTAAATTCAATTAAAAATCAATAAGTTTAAAATTGAAAACTTGCAATTTTAGTGTTTTATATTATTATCAAAAATAAATGTGAGTTTCTGTTACAATTCTCCTTAAAGGGCTGCAAACATGCATATTTCTTGATATAAAAATATTAATTACTAATAACATTACTAATATCATTAATAACATTCAAAAATTTTCAAATATATTTACTTTATTTTATTTATTTATTTTTTATATACATATTCTTTATTAACAGATAATTGCATTAGATATTTATTTAAAAAAAAAACTTATGTAATTATGATTTAAAATATTAAAAGTTTTTTTTTTTAATATGTAAGTACATTTGTATGTTTTAATATATTTACCCGAAATACCAATCACTTAGGCAAGTATATTTGCTACAATGAACATTTAACTGAGATGCACAAAACTGAATGATGCATCATGATGAACATAAAAGAATATTTTTAATTAAAGGTGTATTTTTTTTAATCAACTACCAGATTTTATTTTTAAAAGGAAGTAGACAGTATATCGCCAAACTTTAAACAAAAATCAGAAGTTTCTATCAATGATCATAATACTATCAATTACTGTACATGCTAAGTCTAATAAATTTGCTACAAGTAAAATAAATTAGAACAATCAGATCAACTAATGCAGAGTTAAAATTGAAGAAAGGAATTTTACCCCGACTCTGTTATAAGCTCGAACTTGGAAAAGGTATGGCCTGCCAGGAAACAGACCATTGACTATACAAGAAGTCTCAGGACCTTTATACACCTGAAGTGTTATGTTGTCAGGACTCGTCATATCAACTTCATACTCTGATACAGCAGCTCCACCATCATGCTCGGGGTGAGCTACAAATGTAGAAAAAGCAAAAATTATTTTCAGAAGAATTCAATGGGATAGCGAATAAAGGTAACAAATGACAAGTACAAAATTTTACTACATTCAGCAAACTCTTTATTGCTTAGGCAGCAATAATAAATTTTATATGATGAACCTGTCATTGACTTTAAAGAGCCAAGTCATAATTTGTTCCTGCACAATATTTATTTAATTGTTTGTAAATGTTTCCTAACTTCCTCATCCACTTAATTTGTCAATTATAACTGAACATTTATTTATTTTTTTTAATTAAAGCCCAATAATTCTATTAGTAATTAAAACCTTTAATGCATTAGTAAATAACAACTGGATATTAAGTTTAACAAAAACAATAAAAAAACATTAATTTGCTTATATAATTGAAGATAATTTGACGAAAAAGGAAAACTTATTATTAATATATAAAATGGTATTGTTTAAAAATAACAAATACTTAACACTATTTGAATGAGAAATAAATGATAAATAATTTTTAATTCAAATTATTACCACTAAGCAGTAATGAGAGGAAATAGTGATTATTAATACACATTATTACCACCATAAGTGGAACTTAACCAAACTATGACAAGTGAAACTTTTTCACATGTCATAGTTTAAACGGGATTTTTGCAATTTAAATTCGATCTTAATTAAAAAATTAAGTTTAATTTTTTTCAGGGAATCAGGAGGTATTTTTCTTCTTTTCCTAATTTTTTATTCAAATGAGCTATTTTAATATATACCATGCGCACTATATACACTATTTAAAATGAGATATCTTCAAATAGTACAAAAGTGCTTTATTAGGCTAAAAAAAAAAAAATTATGTTAATTACAAGTCATTAAGATGTTTCTGAGTAATGTGATGTTGAAGATTGAAGATTTCAGAAACTTGTAAGTTTCTTACATGGAAATAATGCTAAGGATTAGTCAATCATAACAATGCTAAGGATTAGTTATCCCCGTTGAGAAAAAAAAAGGGTTTATCACTATTAAATAGGAACAAATCAGTTCAAATATGAAATCAAACAGACAGTTGATAACCACACATAGAATTCTGTGATCACTATTTATTTAATTTTAAGTTATTCATAAAATCTTCAGTTTTAAAATTAATTAATTTCAAGGGGAAAAAAAGAACAGAAATAACATTTTTTGATTTCTTGTAGGATTGATTTTGTATTCATCATAATTGCTGGGACATTTTAACATAGATATACAGGATGTCCTGTGAATGTTGAGACAAACTTCTAAGAGAAGAAGGGCATGTCATAAGGATTAAGAATTGAATAGCTACTCACGAAAAGAAATGTCCCCTTATTTCGCAAGGAGAGCTGCCCATTTACGAATATATTCATGTACGTGATTTTGAATGGTTACTTTTCATTTAAAATATATTAATTATATTTTTGAAATTAATTATTGTCGAAAATTAAATTAATGAATTCTAATAGGCTCAGTAATAGTTGTATTATTGCAGTTTAATGAGTTTGCGACTAGCTTGATTCCCCTTCAAGTTTGTTACAATATTTATAGATTTGTATAAAATCCATATCGACCAGAAATTAAATGTTAACATTTATTGCTTAAGAGGTGAATAAAACATAAACAGGGCACTTACCCCAGTCAAGACATACAAAAGATGCTTCAGGTTTGCTTTGAAGTTTTGGCTGTGCACACTTCCCTGGACTGACTGCAGCAGTGGTAATACTGTTAACATCAGAATACTGGAAAATGAAAATAAAACTTTTAGATAGGTTAGAAAACTCCAGCAAGAGCAAAAATTCCTTTAGTATGAAAAACGAAAATAATTTTAAAATAGACAGGCACATATTTAAACGTAGAATAATTAAATAGAAAAATAACGGCAAAAATAAAGCTTTATAAAAGAAACTATTCGTTTTTATAAAGTAAACCTTAAAAAAAAAAGTATAGTTTCTTTTGTGTTCTTCTAACAACCAACAAACAATACATTTTTACCAAAAAATAAAAGATTTATACAATGTCTTACAAAATATTTAATTAAAATATTCAGTAATAAAAATTCGATTTTACCAACATTAAAATAAAGTAAGTGATGTCCATAGTGTTTTAATTTTAATGGTGAGTAATTATAGAGAGTGCAAGCTTTGGCAGCTATGATTAGCAAATTTGTTTTAGTTTACATAGGAATCCAAAGATATAATATTAAAATAAAAATATCAGTGAACTATAGTAATGGGAGAAAAATAAAATGCAATAAGTAATTTCTCACGTCCTCTTGATATTTCTTGGTGCACATAAGCAAAATTAATGTACATAGATCGTAAAATTAACAACGTCATTGTATTCCTTAAAAATTGTCTTTCAAAATAATCAAAGAGAAGAATAAAAGAAAAAGTCAAATTACTCACTGGGCTATGTCCAGCAGAAGTGATGCATGCTACCCTGACTTTGTAAGTAGTACCTGGAAGCAAGTTTTCTAGGAAAAATTCAGGATCTGGACCTGTATATACAGCATCAAATCCTAAAATAGTTTTATCAGATAAGATTAACTTACATTAGCGCAATATTTAAACATTTACTTGATCTAATATGAACAGAAATTTCCATCACTTAAACACATGATCATAATTTTTGGATATTTATAATTAAAAAAAGAAAAAATCTGTAAGGTGGGATGAACTACATGTGCCTCATTTGCCCAATACTTCTACTTCTCATTAAAATTATCAATTTTTCTCAAAATTCTTCGAAAACCAAAAATACAATTTTGAATATTTCGTTAAGAAATAATTTCTTTTCATTCATTATAAGAATTTAAACTTGTAGAAGCATTAATTATAATACCTAGCCATTGTTGATTACATAACATACAATAATTTGTCATGTTTTTTTGTCATTTGAGGAATCAGAAATAAATAAATCAACATTCTAACAACAAGCACAAAATTTTATTTTTTACATTAATCCTAGAAGTGTTGAGACTTTGAGAAAATGGATTGAAACTTTACTATTATATATTAATAACTTTCCTTCATACATTAATGACTCTCTTTTTCTTTTACTATTATATATTAATAACTTTTATAAATGGGAAAGTTATTATAAATTAACTTTCCCATTATACATCACAGGAAAATGACTAACTTAAAACAGCCAGAATTAATGTTTTGAGAGTTAATATCTAGCATGCCAAATCCTGTATTAAATACTTGAACTTATTTTTAAACCTAGTTCTACCAAAAAAGTCATTTAGACTTCTACCATAACAGATATGCTTAAACTTTAACTTTTTCATAGAAATTTGCTAATAATATTCAATATTCATGCTTTTTTAATTTGCTGCATGCATTATGTTCACTGTTCAAATATGATTGATTTTAAAATTTTGAGCAAGAAGATATGCATAAATATTTAAAAATTCAATAATTAAAAATTAACGTTTAGTAATACACGAATCTGGTCAAGAAATAAGCACAAAAAATGTAGACAATTAAATAAAAATACAGATAACACAAATAATTAAGCTGTTAAAATAAATCTGTTTTTTTAAAACACAGAAGAGTTGATATCCTTACCGAATCCTCTATCCACTTCTAGAATATATTTTGTAACTGTAGAGTGCTTACAATCTTTAGGTGGGTCTGGAATTAGAATGAACAATTATGTCTCTGAATATTATAGTATAACAAATTTGAAAACATGTTAAATAGAAAACAGCAAATCTGGTACGTAAACTTCATATCCTGCCCCCCCCCCCAAAAAAAGATAGTTAAGTTTTATAAGCATATTAAAAGCAAAACAAAAAGCTAAAGTTACAAGCTAACTTTTTGAAGAATTGCAAAAAATAATTAAATAAGAATTATTTATGTGTACATGAAATATTAGTTTTATGAGAAATATTTTTCCACCAGCCCCCCATAAAACTCAGAAAACTAGAAACAAATTATAAATGAAATTATTCATAACCCATCTTATTCATTCTGAAATTACTTTAGCAACAAAAACAACAATACCCAGACCTCAATAAAGCCAACAAAGTAAAGATAACCAAAAGTAAAATGAATTGAAAAATATTTTTGATATAAAATATCAAAAAGTAAGTTACCTAATATCAAAAATTTAGTAATCAAATAATATCAAAAAGTTAAGTTATCAAGTAATCAAAAAGTTAATATCACTGTAATAACAATGTTAATAACATTCATAGTGTGGCAAATATAAATGACTTGAAATAAAGATAAAATAAACAAATGAATAAGTATTTTCAAAAAACAAAAAGGTGGAAATATTAATTAAAAATATAAATATTATATCTCAAATGTAAAATAATTTTAGATCAGAATAAATTATAAAAACCTTACCCCAAGTAAGCCTAAAACAAGATGCATGGATTCTTCCCTTCGGAACGGGTTTACCAGGACACCCTAATTTATCAGGCAGTGTACAATAAGTTACTATTTTACTCCAAGGACTTGAGCCTTCTTCATTACTTGCACATAACTGATAAAAATAATAGGAAACATTAAATTATTTTTTTAAAAAAATAACAGTTTCTTTAGTAAATTATAAAATAAACAGAACTTATATTTAAAAAAATTTAAAAACATTTATTTCACTCAACTAAGGACAACAAGAAAATATGGAATATAATTAGATGTGGATGTTTAGTNAGTTGGTCTGATGTTGTAACACTTACATATACTAATAATCGTCGTTAGAAAAACAGTCACCTTTATAGTAACAAATTAAAAAGAAATTTACTTCTTACAAGAATCGCGATAGTTGATCTTAAAATTGCGTGAATATGAATAACAATTATGGATTTTGAAATCACATGAATATGAAACTAGATATACGATTTTGAAAATGAGAATATACAAACTGGGATACAGAAATTTTAAAACGCGTAAATACAAATCACGATTCATAATTTTTAGATAGCGTAAATACGAATCATGATGCGTAACTTTTAGATTGCATAAATAAGAATTATGATGCATAATTTTTAGAATGCGTGAATGCGAATCCCAATGCCTTATTTTAAAATCACGTATAAATACGAAAATCAATGTTTGATATTATAAACCGCATGAGCAAATCAAGACATTGAATTTTAAACTTGCGTGAATACGAATCGCTACATAGGTTTTTTAAAAAGGCGTAAATATGAATCAAAATATCGGATTTTTAAATCTCGTAAATAAGAATCGTAGCGTACAATATTCAAATCGCGTGAATAAGAATCGCAAGACGCAGATATGAAATGCTATGTTTGATATTGAAATCGTGTGAATAAGAATCGAGATATTAGCAGATTTCAGGCTTGGGACCTCTACAAGGCTTGTCAGAAGCAGCGTCGTCTGAACTACAAAAATTGGATCTATCTGGAGGGCGGGTAAAAAATTCGGAAAATCTTATCTGCTGCGAGTAAAAGGGGAGAAAATAGCGAAAATAAGTAACAATGAGAAAGGATTGGTAGCTATGTAGTTTGAATTTTCTGTTTCTCTTTGAAAATCGGTGAATTTTCTGAAAAAGCGGAATACTTATAAAAAAAAAGTGACATTTTCAGAAAAATCTGAATTTTTGATTAAAAAAAAAAAAAAACTGAAATTTAAGAGATAAAAGTGAAAAAAGCGGAAATCCGCTAAAAAGCGGAAAAATCTCCTCCCTGTACCAACTTTTTTGTCAAAAATGCTCCCTGTGTGCATCTTATACAAAAAAAAATTTAAAAAATATAAAATATGGAATTACCATGAATATTATATATATTCAGAAAAGTACTTATATATATACTTGAAAACTCAAACACTGTTTAATTCAATCATCAAATACTTACCCTGAATTTATATTCCGTATTTCCCCGTAACCCTGAACATGTGAAATGTGTTTCTCTACCACTATAAGTTGTGAAGAAACCATGCCTCTGAAATAAAAAACACAACATTAAATACCTATAAGATTCAATTATTCAAAGAGTTTTATTGAAAAACATATCAACTTTAAATCAATAATTTAAAGGAAATTAATGTCTGCAAGCATATTCTTTCAAATTAGAATACACAAAATATAAAAATTCAAATCTATTCATATGAATCGAATAATTACAATAAGATCAAGAAAAAAGATAAATTAAAATACTATCACTTATAAATGTCAGCCTGTTAAAACTTTTACAATGATGTTAAATTCTACCATATTGTCAGTGATAGATTTCTTCTTAAATCACTGAACATTAAGTATTTAGACAAGCGCTTAAGTGTTATGCAAAGGTCTTTGCACTATTTACACATTAAATAACATGGGAAGAACAGTTATGCAGCACAGGAAAGAAAGCAAATTAAATGGCAGGAAATTCAAACTAAAACCTACAGGAATTGAAAGCAATAATATATTGCTTTCATAATTTTAATAATAATTAATAATAATTCATAATTTTAATAAGCAATAATTATAATTATTTTAATAAACATCATTTTAATAATTTTAATAAGCAATAGTAATTTTATAATAACTTTAAAAAGTGAAGTGGAACATAGAAGTGAAAACAGTGAGTTTATAAATTTTATATTATTTATATAAAACTAGGCAAATAAAAAAACTATCCAGTGCTTCTTCTTACACTTGTGATACTATTTTTCATATAGTTTACAGCCTTCAGAAGAAAAAAAAATATAAATACGAGATGAACACACCAATACTAGATCAACACACCAATACTAATAAACACACTAATAGATATTCTTGTACACTTGCATCAAGTTAGCTGTAGATAAAACATTTAATGTTATATGAAATAGTAAAAATACAAAAAAACTATCTTTATTAAATATAAATAATTTAATATAAGTAGCCTACAATCTAAATTTTGAATAATTTTGTATTGGTTGGTAAAGTAAGAATAAAATTTAATAAAATTGGCTGATAATGTTTTTTTTAAAGCCAAATAATGAAGTGAAGAACATTACCATTTCATCTTCTATTTGCAGATTGAAGTCATCATCAAATGTTCTTCGTTCCCATTCCAGGTGAAGTCGATTGATATAAGCTTGTTTTAAAATTGGGGGTGAAGGTTGACTAGGAGCATTGCCACTTGTAAAATAACAGCACGTCTCACTAAATGCACTACAAACATACAAGAAAGGCTCATTAATAAAACTACTAGCAAGCAAAAACAATTTACAGCTTGTGTCTACTGTATTACAGTTAATGTTGCAAATTTACATGGAAAAAAAACATTGTTATAATGCAAAGATAATTTACACTTAAAATTTTTTTAACAGTCAAAAACACTAAAATTAACAGAAAATAAACATCATAATTGACTTTGAGGACATGATCGAATTTTCATTTTTGAAAAATACACTTGAAAGACACATATTTAAAAAGATATATTTACATTTTTGCATGTTACACATTTAATAAGAGCTTTTCATATGAGAAGAATTTTTATAGTTTATTATTATTATGACTATTATTTACAGCAAAAATGAAAAAAGTTTATAAATTTCTCGTTAGAAATGGAAAAAAATGTACCTCTTTCCTTTATCATTCATTGCAGCTAACCGAAACCTGTAGCCAGTTGCAGGAGTTAGTTTTGTTACTTTAAACTGCTTGAGTGGTCCAGTGTAAACAGTTGTAAAACCATTTCGACTGAAACCCTGCTGGAAGAAGAAAAGAAAAAGAAATCAAATTATAAGATTTTAGTTGGTTTATTGTTCAAAGAAAAGTAGTCAGTACACATTTGATACATAACTTATAAAAACTACAATGATTATAAGCATAAAGATATTTTTCAGCATTTATATGGATAAGTCAAAAATTTCTCAAATTGACAAAAAGATGTTTTTCGCTTTAAGCTTGAAAAAAAGTCGGATAATTAATTACAAAAGAAACTGATCTCCAATCATTTATAGCTATTAAAATTTCAAGTATAAACAGTAAAGATAACTAATTTCTATTAAAAAAAAATTTACTTTCAGAATATATAAATTATAAACATTACTGTAATCAGAAATTTAATGTTTAGCTTCATTACCTTCAATAGAGGTTTTTAAATAAATTTTAGATAATATTTTCGTATATTTCAAAAAATCGTATATTTCAAAATATTTTAAAGTAAAAGGCAAACAAGATATTTTTTAATATTTAATTCTTATTTGCACCTTACCAATAATAAAAAATAATAATAAAATAGCATAATAAAATGTATTATACAATATGGTATTTATTTCAAAATTTTATAAAACCAATAGAGAAATGTTGAAATTTCATGGTCTTTTAATGAATACAATTAATGCTAGCATTAAACTGAATTCTAAATTAAGCTATTTAAGACATTGAAAAAGTAAAAGAATGAATTAAAAAAACTGATATAAAAATAATCTACATCATCCAAATGTCAAAGCAGAAAATTAAAAAATTAAAAACATGCGAAGAAAAATATGAAATATCGATTAAAACAAATTTTTTAACATTATATTAAGAATTTACTAGTTTTGCACAAATTGTTAAACTTGTTAAAAACAGTTGCTAATTAAAACAGTTGTTATCTTATTAAAATTGTTAAAAACAATTAAAACACAAAATAACAATAAAGTTTACTATAATGTGAACAATTTCATTTAAAAAAAACTGTCCTCTTATATTAATTACAGTAACTGCATTTGATAAAAAAATGAATAAAGAATGAATGAAAAAAACGCCATGAACCAAAACAATATTTTTTGTAATTCATTTTCATTTTTAAACTTTGTACTTAGTAATAAAACAAAAAGAGAAACAAAGATATTAACCTCTTGGCTAATCTCATCACACTCTAATATATAAGTAACTTTGGAACTGCTTGAATCACCACTTGACTGGAAATAAATACAAAAATTATCAATTCATGCCTTTAAAAATGGCAAGAAGCATACAATTGCTGAACTTTTTATTATATATATATATATA